AAAGCATGAGGACCTTTTGAGTCGACTCAAAAGCATACAAGCTGGTTTTTGAGAATTCTCAAAAACCAAAGCATGAGGACCTTTTGAGTCGACTCAAAAGCATACGAGCTGGTTTTTGAGAATTCTCAAAAACCAAAGCATGAGGACCTTTTGAGTCGACTCAAAAGCATACGAGCTGGTTTTTGAGAATTCTCAAAAACCAAAGCATGAGGACCTTTTGAGTCGACTCAAAAGCATACGAGCTGGTTTTTGAGAATTCTCAAAAACCAAAGCATGAGGACCTTTTGAGTCGACTAAAAAGCATACGAGCTGGTTTTTGAGAATTCTCAAAAACCAAAGCATGAGGACCTTTTGAGTCGACTCAAAAGCATACGAGCTGGTTTTTGAGAATTCTCAAAAACCAAAGCATGAGGACCTTTTGAGTCGACTCAAAAGCATACGAGCTGGTTTTTGAGAATTCTCAAAAACCAAAGCATGAGGACCTTTTGAGTCGACTCAAAAGCATACGAGCTGGTTTTTGAGAATTCTCAAAAACCAAAGCATGAGGACCTTTTGAGTCGACTAAAAAGCATACGAGCTGGTTTTTGAGAATTCTCAAAAACCAAAGCATGAGGACCTTTTGAGTCGACTAAAAAGCATACGAGCTGGTTTTTGAGAATTCTCAAAAACCAAAGCATGAGGACCTTTTGAGTCGACTCAAAAGCATACGAGCTGGTTTTTGAGAATTCTCAAAAACCAAAGCATGAGGACCTTTTGAGTCGACTCAAAAGCATACAAGCTGGTTTTTGAGAATTCTCAAAAACCAAAGCATGAGGACCTTTTGAGTCGACTCAAAAGCATACGAGCTGGTTTTTGAGAATTCTCAAAAACCAAAGCATGAGGACCTTTTGAGTCGACTCAAAAGCATACGAGCTGGTTTTTGAGAATTCTCAAAAACCAAAGCATGAGGACCTTTTGAGTCGACTCAAAAGCATACGAGCTGGTTTTTGAGAATTCTCAAAAACCAAAGCATGAGGACCTTTTGAGTCGACTCAAAAGCATACGAGCTGGTTTTTGAGAATTCTCAAAAACCAAAGCATGAGGACCTTTTGAGTCGACTCAAAAGCATACGAGCTGGTTTTTGAGAATTCTCAAAAACCAAAGCATGAGGACCTTTTGAGTCGACTAAAAAGCATACGAGCTGGTTTTTGAGAATTCTCAAAAACCAAAGCATGAGGACCTTTTGAGTCGACTAAAAAGCATACGAGCTGGTTTTTGAGAATTCTCAAAAACCAAAGCATGAGGACCTTTTGAGTCGACTCAAAAGCATACGAGCTGGTTTTTGAGAATTCTCAAAAACCAAAGCATGAGGACCTTTTGAGTCGACTCAAAAGCATACGAGCTGGTTTTTGAGAATTCTCAAAAACCAAAGCATGAGGACCTTTTGAGTCGACTCAAAAGCATACGAGCTGGTTTTTGAGAATTCTCAAAAACCAAAGCATGAGGACCTTTTGAGTCGACTCAAAAGCATACGAGCTGGTTTTTGAGAATTCTCAAAAACCAAAGCATGAGGACCTTTTGAGTCGACTCAAAAGCATACGAGCTGGTTTTTGAGAATTCTCAAAAACCAAAGCATGAGGACCTTTTGAGTCGACTAAAAAGCATACGAGCTGGTTTTTGAGAATTCTCAAAAACCAAAGCATGAGGACCTTTTGAGTCGACTCAAAAGCATACGAGCTGGTTTTTGAGAATTCTCAAAAACCAAAGCATGAGGACCTTTTGAGTCGACTCAAAAGCATACGAGCTGGTTTTTGAGAATTCTCAAAAACCAAAGCATGAGGACCTTTTGAGTCGACTCAAAAGCATACGAGCTGGTTTTTGAGAATTCTCAAAAACCAAAGCATGAGGACCTTTTGAGTCGACTAAAAAGCATACGAGCTGGTTTTTGAGAATTCTCAAAAACCAAAGCATGAGGACCTTTTGAGTCGACTAAAAAGCATACGAGCTGGTTTTTGAGAATTCTCAAAAACCAAAGCATGAGGACCTTTTGAGTCGACTCAAAAGCATACGAGCTGGTTTTTGAGAATTCTCAAAAACCAAAGCATGAGGACCTTTTGAGTCGACTCAAAAGCATACGAGCTGGTTTTTGAGAATTCTCAAAAACCAAAGCATGAGGACCTTTTGAGTCGACTCAAAAGCATACGAGCTGGTTTTTGAGAATTCTCAAAAACCAAAGCATGAGGACCTTTTGAGTCGACTAAAAAGCATACGAGCTGGTTTTTGAGAATTCTCAAAAACCAAAGCATGAGGACCTTTTGAGTCGACTCAAAAGCATACGAGCTGGTTTTTGAGAATTCTCAAAAACCAAAGCATGAGGACCTTTTGAGTCGACTCAAAAGCATACGAGCTGGTTTTTGAGAATTCTCAAAAACCAAAGCATGAGGACCTTTTGAGTCGACTCAAAAGCATACGAGCTGGTTTTTGAGAATTCTCAAAAACCAAAGCATGAGGACCTTTTGAGTCGACTAAAAAGCATACGAGCTGGTTTTTGAGAATTCTCAAAAACCAAAGCATGAGGACCTTTTGAGTCGACTAAAAAGCATACGAGCTGGTTTTTGAGAATTCTCAAAAACCAAAGCATGAGGACCTTTTGAGTCGACTCAAAAGCATACGAGCTGGTTTTTGAGAATTCTCAAAAACCAAAGCATGAGGACCTTTTGAGTCGACTCAAAAGCATACGAGCTGGTTTTTGAGAATTCTCAAAAACCAAAGCATGAGGACCTTTTGAGTCGACTCAAAAGCATACGAGCTGGTTTTTGAGAATTCTCAAAAACCAAAGCATGAGGACCTTTTGAGTCGACTCAAAAGCATACGAGCTGGTTTTTGAGAATTCTCAAAAACCAAAGCATGAGGACCTTTTGAGTCGACTCAAAAGCATACGAGCTGGTTTTTGAGAATTCTCAAAAACCAAAGCATGAGGACCTTTTGAGTCGACTCAAAAGCATACGAGCTGGTTTTTGAGAATTCTCAAAAACCAAAGCATGAGGACCTTTTGAGTCGACTCAAAAGCATACGAGCTGGTTTTTGAGAATTCTCAAAAACCAAAGCATGAGGACCTTTTGAGTCGACTAAAAAGCATACGAGCTGGTTTTTGAGAATTCTCAAAAACCAAAGCATGAGGACCTTTTGAGTCGACTAAAAAGCATACGAGCTGGTTTTTGAGAATTCTCAAAAACCAAAGCATGAGGACCTTTTGAGTCGACTCAAAAGCATACGAGCTGGTTTTTGAGAATTCTCAAAAACCAAAGCATGAGGACCTTTTGAGTCGACTCAAAAGCATACGAGCTGGTTTTTGAGAATTCTCAAAAACCAAAGCATGAGGACCTTTTGAGTCGACTCAAAAGCATACGAGCTGGTTTTTGAGAATTCTCAAAAACCAAAGCATGAGGACCTTTTGAGTCGACTCAAAAGCATACGAGCTGGTTTTTGAGAATTCTCAAAAACCAAAGCATGAGGACCTTTTGAGTCGACTCAAAAGCATACGAGCTGGTTTTTGAGAATTCTCAAAAACCAAAGCATGAGGACCTTTTGAGTCGACTAAAAAGCATACGAGCTGGTTTTTGAGAATTCTCAAAAACCAAAGCATGAGGACCTTTTGAGTCGACTCAAAAGCATACGAGCTGGTTTTTGAGAATTCTCAAAAACCAAAGCATGAGGACCTTTTGAGTCGACTCAAAAGCATACGAGCTGGTTTTTGAGAATTCTCAAAAACCAAAGCATGAGGACCTTTTGAGTCGACTCAAAAGCATACGAGCTGGTTTTTGAGAATTCTCAAAAACCAAAGCATGAGGACCTTTTGAGTCGACTAAAAAGCATACGAGCTGGTTTTTGAGAATTCTCAAAAACCAAAGCATGAGGACCTTTTGAGTCGACTAAAAAGCATACGAGCTGGTTTTTGAGAATTCTCAAAAACCAAAGCATGAGGACCTTTTGAGTCGACTCAAAAGCATACGAGCTGGTTTTTGAGAATTCTCAAAAACCAAAGCATGAGGACCTTTTGAGTCGACTCAAAAGCATACGAGCTGGTTTTTGAGAATTCTCAAAAACCAAAGCATGAGGACCTTTTGAGTCGACTCAAAAGCATACGAGCTGGTTTTTGAGAATTCTCAAAAACCAAAGCATGAGGACCTTTTGAGTCGACTCAAAAGCATACGAGCTGGTTTTTGAGAATTCTCAAAAACCAAAGCATGAGGACCTTTTGAGTCGACTCAAAAGCATACGAGCTGGTTTTTGAGAATTCTCAAAAACCAAAGCATGAGGACCTTTTGAGTCGACTCAAAAGCATACGAGCTGGTTTTTGAGAATTCTCAAAAACCAAAGCATGAGGACCTTTTGAGTCGACTCAAAAGCATACGAGCTGGTTTTTGAGAATTCTCAAAAACCAAAGCATGAGGACCTTTTGAGTCGACTCAAAAGCATACGAGCTGGTTTTTGAGAATTCTCAAAAACCAAAGCATGAGGACCTTTTGAGTCGACTCAAAAGCATACGAGCTGGTTTTTGAGAATTCTCAAAAACCAAAGCATGAGGACCTTTTGAGTCGACTCAAAAGCATACGAGCTGGTTTTTGAGAATTCTCAAAAACCAAAGCATGAGGACCTTTTGAGTCGACTCAAAAGCATACGAGCTGGTTTTTGAGAATTCTCAAAAACCAAAGCATGAGGACCTTTTGAGTCGACTCAAAAGCATACGAGCTGGTTTTTGAGAATTCTCAAAAACCAAAGCATGAGGACCTTTTGAGTCGACTCAAAAGCATACGAGCTGGTTTTTGAGAATTCTCAAAAACCAAAGCATGAGGACCTTTTGAGTCGACTCAAAAGCATACGAGCTGGTTTTTGAGAATTCTCAAAAACCAAAGCATGAGGACCTTTTGAGTCGACTCAAAAGCATACGAGCTGGTTTTTGAGAATTCTCAAAAACCAAAGCATGAGGACCTGCTGCATGTGTGCCGCCTCCGCTACCCTCAGCTGCTGCTGCATGTGTGGGGGGAGGAGGGGGGGATGGATGGAAGATGGGGGGGATGGGTTAGGAAGGGTGTGGAAGCTCGTAAAGCTTGTGACTTTTGAGTCGACTCAAAAGTCATCTGTGGGAGCTCGTAAAGCTCGTGCTGACAGTCGCTGTCCGCCTCGTAGCAGGAGGGGTGCTCCACCAAGCTGGTGGAGGGAGAGGAATATTGCGCAAGGAAGGAAGGCGGAAAAGATGAAGAAGCAGCGGAGACGGCAGGTCGGAAAGTCGGAAAAGGACGGGGAAAGGGGACGAAGGTTATGACGGGAGCAGGGCCGACCTAGAGAGCTCACTTGGTGGCTGCACTCACTTGGTGGCTGTGCGGATCTGGATGGCAACATCAATCTGCAGCCGCAGTGACCTTTGAGTCGAGTCAAACTGCAACTCAAAAGTCACGTACAGGGGCGGCCTAGAGAACTCACTTGGTGGCGGTGCGGATCTGAATGGCCACATCAAACTGCAGCCGCAGTCCCGTGCCTTTCTTCACTCTCGCTCCGCCCACCTTCTCGCTCACCCCACCATCTTCACTATAAGCTGAATCGCTACCAGCAGAAGAGCCTGCATCCCCGCCTCCCTGCTCTGGAAAGCTGCCCTCAGCACCGTACTCCTCAAGCTGCCGTACTGTGCTCGGTGCTGACGTATGCGGTGCTGTGATGATATGATTTGAGGTGCTAGAGGCTGCAGTGCTCGGAGTTGAAGTGTGAAGAACTGAAGAGCTAGGTTGGTTGCTGTTGCCACCTGTTGCTGCTGCTCCTGCTGGTCCTGCCACTGCCACAGCTGCTTTTGCTGTTGCCTTTGTTGCTGTTGCTGCTGAGGCAGGCTCTCTACCAGCAATCTGTTGCTCCTTCTCCTTCTCATGCACTTCACCCTTCTCCTCATCCCCCCCTTCAGCTGCTGCCTCGCTGTTCCCACGCTCTTGCTCAGCAAGCATCCCTCCTCCTGTCTTGCCTTTCTCCTTCCCTTCAAGACCACCTGGAAGACCCGAATGGGGTGTTCCGACCTCCTCCAACCCCACCTTCCTCCCCACCAGCCTGCGCCTAGCCCCTCCACCACCACCCCATCTCCCTTCTTCTCTCCCTACCGAGCTTCTTTCCTCAACCTCTCCCTCCTCGTCTCCTCCTAACTGCATCCTCTCCTTACCCCCCTTCCCAGCGCCACCACCTCCCCCCCCCCTTCTCTCCTCCCTCTTACCCTCGCTCCCACCACTCTCGCCCCACCTTTTCCTCCTCACTATCTCCTCTATCACCTCTTGAAGCTCAGGCACAGGTCCATGCCCTAGCAAGGCATGTATGGCATGGCTCCTCACACACCATATGTTATGGCAGTGAAACGCGCACTGCACACACGGGGCCAGCCGCCCGTTCTTATGCCAGAAATTATCAAAAAAACTGCCCGTGTTCACATGCACCACGGGCAGCCCGGAGTGCAGGGCAGAAAGAAACTCTTGTCTTGGCGCGTGCAGCTCGAGGGGCTCGCTGACGTGGCGGATATCGTCCGTGAAATTGACCAATGGGGCGACGCCGCTGCAGTCAAACGTGGTGCAGAGGTGATCTAGCACGGCCCTGTGCTTCCCTCCGTGCCAGCGCAGCAACCGGCGGCCAGAGAGGAGAGCATAGACATACGCTGAGCAAAATCCGCGCAGGGAGTTGCCTAAGCCGAAGCGGGGAAACCACACTAAGTACCTCTCCTGCTGCTGCTGCTGAGGCTGGTCCTGCTGGCCCTGCTGTTGTTGGTCGTCGCTGGAAGAGGAAGAGGAGTGAGAAGAGTGGGGATGCATGGACGCTGCTACAGCAGCAAGAGCAGCTTCGGCTGAAGACTGATGCTGCGCATAATGCTCTCCCTGCTCGCCCTGCCCTCCCTGCCCTTCCTGCCCCTCCTGCTCCTCTCTGCCTCGTACCCCCTCGTTAGCATATGCGGGGAGGGGCTGTGGGTCGAAGAGCGGCGAGGAGAGCGTTGCGAGGTGCTCGCCCGTGACTGGTGTGGGGGTGAGCACTCCCGTGGGCTCGTCAAACACTTCGGGGGGAAGGACCTTGGCACACGAGGCTAGAGCCTGAGACAGGCGGGGGAAAGAAGGGATCATGGAAAACGGGCGGGAAGGAGAGCGTTGCGAGGTGCTCGCCCGTGACTGGCGTGGGGGTGAGCACTCCCGTGGGCTGGTCAAACACTTCGGGGGGAAGGACCTTGGCACACGAGGCTAGAGCCTGGGGAAGGGGGGAGGGGAGGAGAACGGGAGGATGGGAGGATGAGGTGATGGTAAGAGAGGAGGAAGGAGAGTCAAGAGGGGCACTCGCGACAGGCGTGGGGGTGAGCACTCCCGTGGGCTCGTCAAACACTTCAGGAGGAAGGACCTTGGCACACAAGGCTAGAGCCTGGTAGTGGGACAGCGGGGGAGGGGGAGGGGGAATCAACTGGGGATATTTACTTGGGTGAGCAAGAACCGTGCCATATACTCACATCCATATCCGTTGACAGGTTGCGCACAAAGGGGCTCCGCCAGCTGCTGCCAACCACCCCATCCGTCCACTGCCACTGGTAGCCCTGGTCCGCCTGGCTGCCCACCAGGAAGCGGCCGTCCTGGAGGTCTAATTTCAGGGATCAAAGTGTCATGTCATGCACTTGTCATGTCATGCATGCATTTACTCACATCCATATCCAAAGAAAGGTTTCGCACGAAGGGGCTTCTCCAGCTGCTCCCCACAGTGCCGTCCGTCCACTGCCACTGGTAGCCCTGGTCCTCCTGACTGCCCACCAGGAAACGATCCTCCCAGGGGTCTTACCCGGAAGGCCACGGCTAGGAAACCACGAGCTGTGCCATGTACTCACATCCATGTCAAGTGACAGGTTGTGCACGAAGGGGCTTCTCCAGCTGCTCCCCACAGTGCCGTCCGTCCACTGCCACTGGTAGCCCTGGTCCTCCTGGCTGCCCACCAGAAATCGGTCCTCCCGGGGGTCGCCGTTCAGGCGGAACGCCACGCTGCGCACCCATGCGTCCTTCAGCCAGCTCATGATGAGCTGGCGCCGCCGCGAGGGGGGTGCCACGTCACCCTCAGACAACACGTCATCCTTCTGCCAGCTCATGATGAGCCGACGCCGGGGAGAATGGGATATAGGACGGTGTGAGTGAGGTGAGGAGAATGACCAGCTTCCCTTGTGGCGTTTATGCTGTTGAAAGGTGTGATCGCTTAGAGCAACTGCCTCATGCCGCAACTGCGACCACGCCTCATCATCCTCCCTCTCCTCTTTCCTTTCCCTATCCTCCTCTTCGTGCTGTTCCGCGTCCTCCCCCGCTTCTCCCCCCGCGTCCTCCCCCGCTTTCCCCCCCTCGTCCTCCCCCGCTTCCCCCCCCGCGTCCTCCCCCGCTTCTCCCCCCTCGTCCTCCCCCGCTTCACCCTCCGCGTCCTCACCCGCTTCTCCCCCCTCGTCCTCCCCCTCTTCCGCCCCCTCTGGTCGGCGCACAAAGTAAATACCAGCTGCTCTTGCTGACGGTAGCAGCAACTCAAGGTTTGAAAACGGTAAATCCGCGTCTGCTTTCCTGTCCCTTCCTAGCCATACCTGCTCCGTTCCTCGTCGCCCTTCTCTCCCCTCCTTATCCTCCTCCCCTTTATCTCCCTTAACCCCCTCCTTATCCTCCTCCCTCCTATCCTTTTTATCCTTCTCCATACCCTCTATTCGTGATCCTTTCATCTCTATGGCTGAATGCGACAGCTGCTGCTTCTGAGAACTCTGCAGAAACCCCCACAGCTGATGCGAGACCCGCTTGCTTAGAAGGCTGCTTATACATAGCCTAGATGTGTTACAGCTGCTTGTATCGCAGATTTGGTGGTCAATGGTGCTGCTGCTGTCGGCCTTGCTGTAGCTGCTGCTGCTGCTGCTGCCGCTGCTGCTGTTGCTGCTGCTGTTGTTGGTCGTGGGAATGCTAAGTATGTGGGGAACTCCGGGATGAGTTGCAACAGATGATGGTGCTGCTGCTGGGATCGGCCAATTGACTGCCGACATGTCGGATAGGAAAGGAGAAAAGAACGACCGGAGGCACATCACATGTGAGTGAGGAGTTAATATAGAATCAATGTAAGCTGACAACTCGGGTGATACACTTCATTTCACTGAACTATAACCACCAAATTATTCTGAAAAAAAGGGACCAATTTCAAGCGGAGGAACCTAGAGCAATTATACTGAAACTGTGACAGACGTCCGACCGTCAAGTATGGCTTCTCAGACAAAACGGCAAAGGTAAGTATTCACAAGAAAGGGAGAGGGAGATTAAAGACATGCAGTCCGAGGTGCTGGTACGAGAAATGAAATTGAAGAAACTGATGCGGGGGACAGAATCTTACTTGTGCTTGTGCTCGCATATGCGAAAAGGACGAAGATTAGGAGCGCCATTCGCGACAAATTTCGTGGTAACCGTGGTAGCCATCGCACAGATAACCACCGAACGGCATGGCTCTGCTGGCTAGCGCCGGAACCCAGCGGCTTTCCCATTGAACTGACGACTCAGTGGGTGACTGTAACGGAAACGAGTGACGGTTTTGGCGCTTCAAAACAACTGAGCCTAAACAACTGAGCCTATGCAGTCATACTAATCTACAAAATCCTGTTGTTCCCTGGCCTAGTCAATCTCTAGCCTTCGTAGCCTATATTTGCGCGTCAGACTTCGCGAGCAATAGCTGCATTTGGAGAATAGAAAATCAAACAAGAGATTCTTCGCGGAAAGTGGAGGACTGCTGCTGGCACGAAGAAGCAACGACGAGTACAGATGATGAGCAGTGTCTATACACCGTACAAGGCTGTTTCGATATAAAGTACAGGAACGCTTCGTCTCTGTCATTGCCAAGTGGCTGTTGCGTCCGTAGGTGTGCACGTAAGCACCCTGACCAATCTCATCCTACTAATGCCTGGAACGGATGCAATGCACAGCACGGCTCACCCAAATAAATTCAGCGTGACGACAACAAGCAGCAGTTCCAGTTTCAACCGCAGCTGACAGTATCAGTGCACGTGAGGCCGGCAATGGCCGACGGGACGTGACGGGAGAGTCGCTGAGAATAAATGTCGCACGTGACAGTAGATGTGACCACTCCCTAAAATACGCCAGCTCGTGATACCTGAAAATTATTCGGTGGTTGGTTGGTTTGCAAGCACAGGGCAAGGGCAAGCAAGTGACGAGGAATGCGTAGTTGCTACTAGCGAGTCGACCACAATCGCGGATTTGGGAGACAAGGTGGTTTGTGAGAAATCAGGTTCTTGGATGAGATGAGTCCCCACCTGCGTGGAGCGTGGAAATGCGACGAGGCGATGAATCGGATGACTCCAAGAGAACGCTACAATTTCTCAGAGATGAACCGAGTTTCAGCTTCTGAGCTGTACTGTAACTCCTGCCAACAAGGTGACCCGGACCTGATCCCGATGACCCCAAGGGACTTGCCCCAAACCAACCTCAAGGGACGGAATGGCACACTCTATTGGAGGGGAGCTGGGAAAACCGCATCACGATTGCATGCAACGCTCGTGGGGTTGGTGCGGGTTTCGCCTAGTGTTACGGGTGCAATGAATCGAAGTAGCAAGAATTGCACTAAGGTGTCAAACGAGTACAAAATGTGAGCGAAGGCATGAGCGAACATTTATACGCGAAACATGCAAACGGTAACGCGGTGCGTGCGAGCTAGCTAGTGCTACGCTGGAAGCGAGGCTCGGGCTAGTCCCGAAGCATAGGCCGACACGGCCAGGCCAGCAGTGCAAGGTTTGGTGAAACAGTGCGCGCGAAGTCGGCGAAGCCCCGTTAGCAGTAACGGGCGAACAACGGCTGCTGCTGTACGCGATGTTGCAGGGTGCGCTAAGGAATATCGAGCAAATTCCTTACACTACCCCCCCCCTCAAGAAGCCCCCTCCGCTACGCGAGTGCGTGTATATCGCGGAAGCCCCGGCTCCTCATGTACACTTGCAGGGCAGGGTGGTTTTCGATGTTGGCCAGGGGCACCCAGCTGTCCTCAGTTGGCGTGCGATCCTTCCAGCGGACGAGGAATTCAATCCTCCTGATTCCCGTGGGGTGTCGAATCCGATGGCTCAGGATTTTTTCGGGCTCGATGATCGGCTCCGATGCAGGGCGGGTCATGGATGGCGGGTGGTGGCGAGGCAGTTGGCTTGTGGTTGGGATGTATGGGCGAAGCAAGCTGACGTGGAACGAAGGGCTGATGTACCAGTCGGTCGGTAACAGTAGGTGCGCGGTTACTGGCGTGATCATGTGGCTGATTTGGAATGGGCCACAGTAGCGCGGTCGAAGTTTTGGTACGTCGGGCAGTCGCAGATTTTGCGTGTCGAGCAGTACGTAATCCCCTGACTGGTATGTGACTGGGCGGCGGTGGCGGTCAGCGTTGCGCTTAGCGATGACGTTTGCTTTTTTTAATTGCTTCTGCGGCTCTGGTGCGGGCAGCTTGCAGAATTTCGGCGAATTGCTGTGCACGTGGTGTTGGGTTGTCCGGACTCGGCGTCATGGGCACTGTAGGATTTTGCCCGTAGTTCAGGTAGAAGGGGGACTGCTGCGTCGTCGCTTACGTGGCATTATTGTACGCGAACTCGATCAGCGGCAGCTGCTGCTCCCATGTCGTGGGGTCGTCGCACGTGGCACGAATCAACTGCTCCATCGTCTGATTCGTCCGCTCCGTTTGACCGTCGGTCTCGGGGTGGTACGACGAACTGAACTGTAGCCTGGTCCCGAACTGCTCCCAGAGATTTTTCCAGAAGTTGCTGGTAAACTTCGTGTCCCTGTCGCTGATAATCGCTGCTGGTATCCCGTGCAGGCGAACAACGGCTGCGATGAACAGACGAGCGGTCTCCTCGGCTGAGATCGACTTTTTGCACGCAGCGAAGTGTGCCATCTTCGTAAACCTGTCGACGACGACCATCACCGCGTCGTTATCCCCAGGGTTCGAAGGTAACCCTGTGACGAAGTCCATGGTAACCTGCTGCCAGGCGCGCTCGGGCGGTGGTATCGGCTGCAATTGACCCGCCTTCCTCGTCGACGTAGGTGCCTGTGGATCTGTAGGAGGCCATCTCTGCGTCCATGGCAGCTCTCCACTGAGAGGCCCAAGGCCCTGACACTGCCTCAGCGTAAGTGCGAGGAGTCGGTATGTCAAGGGCGTCGGGGTCTCCCTCAGGGGCGAGCAGCATGGCACAGAGATGAGGGGAAGCGGCTGCCAGGAACTCTAGCTCAAACTGCCTGTCCTCTAGGGCGTCACAGCCAAGGGCAGACACACCCCCGACGGCCAGAGGACTGGAAGGAGGAGCAGCCACAAGACTGGTGGCGAAGTCAAGGCGGCGAGTAGAGGCAAACTCAGTGACTGCGGCAGTAAGAGCGGAGACAGAGGACACAGAGGCACGAGGGTGGGTAACAAGAGAGGCGAGAACACGAGAGAGAACAGGACGGTACGTGCGGTAGTAGTCAGTGACAGGAGTAGAAAGCGAAGCAGTGAGGGCCGACTCAGGAGGAGACGGAAGCACAGACGGAGACGGACGAGGCGGACTAGAACGAAGTAAGGCAGTACGAAGGTCAGGGAAGGGAACAGGGGATGAGGGACGAGCACGAGGGGAGCGACGAGAGGCCCAGGTCTGAGAAGGAGGAGGGGACAACGAAGACTGAGAACGAGAGAAAACAGCTGGAGAGGGGTCAGGAGGAGGAAGCGGAGGACCCGAGACGGGAGGAGAGGGGGAGGAGGAAGGAGAGCGGGAGGGGAGACCGAGGGCCCGAAGACCGGAGACAGGAGGAGGAGGCGGCGGCTGCTGCTGCTGCGGCGGCGGCGGCGGCTGCTGCTGCTGCTGCCGCGGCGGCTGCTGCTGCTCCTCCTGCTGCTGTAGCGGCTCTAACTCCTGCGCCTCCTGCTGCTGCAGCGGCTCCAGCCGCGGCTGCTGCAGCTTCTCCTGCTGCTGCTGCTCCTCCAGCCGCTGCAACTCTCTCTCCTCTCTCTCCAACTCCAGCTGCTCCTCACGGGCACGGCGAACACGAGCCTGGTGCCGGGTCGGGTAGGGGTGGGGGGGAGGAGTAGTGTCGGGGGCTGCGGCAGCCCCGGGACCGCCCTCCAAAGCACCTGGCGCACCACCCCCAGAGTCAGCACCACCAACAGCAACACGACCAGGCTCACCAGGACCCGAAGAGGGTGCACCCGTACCCCCAGACGTAGCACCCCCAAAGTCAGCAGGACCAACACCAGCTCCCGGAAGACAAGAGTCTCCTACAACCACGGGCTCAGCTCCAATTCCAGCACCTCCAGAGCTAGCACCAGTAGGGCCCTCTCCACGAGCACCGGCTCCCACAGGGTCTGCAGCAGGCTGCGAGGAGGACTGCGGGGAAGGAGGCTGCACCTGAGGGGCGACCGAGGGGGGAGGGGTAGCCTGGGACACACCTGACAGGGCGGGACCAGGGGGGGGAGGCTGTACCGGGGGAGCAGGAGGGGGAGCGGAAGTCAGGAAGAGAGGGGGAGGAGGAACCGGGAGACCTCGACTGGGGTACCTGACGTAGTAGGGGGTGGACTCCTCGAAACGGACGTCACGAGAGTCAAAGAACCGGTGAGAGGGAGGGTGGTAAAAGGTGAAGTCAGAGGAGTCCTCAGGGAAACCAAGGAAGACACAGGGAACGGCGCGAGGCGAGAGCTTGTCCGCGGAAGTGTCGCGGACAAGAGCCAAGCAACCCCAGACACGAAACCTCGACGCAACACCAGGGGACCCGGTCCAAAGACCGGTCGGTGAAGCCTCTGGCCGAGAGACACGTGGCCAGAGGTTCAGCTGGTGAGCGGCGTACCTAACCGCGTAGGGCCACAGAAAATGGGGGGCACGGGCGTGAGTCAAGGAGGTGCGGGCGATCTCCATGACCAAGCCTATGCGGCGCTCAGCAACCCCATTCTGCTGTGGGGACTCTGGAAGCGTCCAGGACTGACGAATGCCCTGCTCGCGACAGAATCCAGCGAGAATGCCGGAGCGAAACTCACCCCCACGGTCAGAGTGAAGACAGCTGACACGACGACCACGAGTGCCCTCAGTGGTAAGCAACCACCTGATCAGCGTAGAAGTCACCTCAGACTTTTTCGCCAGGGGGAACACTGTGGTGTAGCGGGAGTAGTCGTCAACGACCACCAAAAAGAAACGCTCGCGCTCAGGGCCAAGGCGAGGGGCGGGGCCCCAGACGTCCAAGTGGAGCGTCTCAAAAGGCTCGGTGGCCGGACGAAGGGAGGAGGAGTGAGGGGTGGCGCGCAGCCGACCCTCGACGCAGGGACCGCACGGCGGTGCAAGCGAAGGCGGGAGCGACGGCAGGACACGCGGGAGGCCTAAGACAAGACGCTGACGAGACATAGCGCGCAGACGAGGGAGGGACGGGTGCCCCGTCCGGTGGTGCCACAGAACGGTGGGGTGTGCAAGCGACCGGCATGAGCACGACGCAACAACTGGACCAGACACGGGAACCTGACCAGACACAGCTACCTGGGGGGACGCAGCAACCTGGTGAGACGCAGGGACCAGACTGGGGGAAGTAACCGGGGCCGGGGGGAGGACTCGCCGCTGCTGCTGCTGCCGCTCCTGCTGCTGCTGCTGCGGCTGCTGCTGCCGCCGCTGCTGCTGCTGCTGCTGCTGCTGCTGCTGCTGCTGCTGCTGCTGCGGCTGCTGCTGCTGCTGCTGCGGCTGCTGCTGCTGCTGCTGCTGCGGCTGCTGCTGCTGCTGCTGCGGCTGCTGCTGTTGCTGCCCACCAGGGCCAATGTGAAGTGTGTAGAGACAAGAGCCCGGCTCGGCAGTAAAGGTGGCAAGAGGCGAGTAAGTGTCGCCGTCAACACAAACCGCCGTCTCACTAGAGGGCTCAATCCACACACCCACGTGCTGACTCACAAGAGGCCTCACGCCCACCAAGTTCCTCGAGAACGAGGGGACGTGGAAGCCAGTCAGAGACCCAGAGGGAACAGCAGGGCAAGGAAGAGTAGTAGTGTAGCGAGCAGTGACTGGTCCCGAGGTGGGATCGGCCAGGGCCACAGAGACTGGCGCAGGAAGTGGAGTAAGTGTCGTGTGGTCGCGGAAGAAGCAGTGCGAAGCCCCAGAGTCCAGAGTGAAAGACAGCGAAGCGTCCTCCGAAGTAGCGCCTGGACTAGTGTCTACACAAGTGCCTACATTAGCAACAGGCAACTCAGCAAGACTAGCACCTAAGCTAACAACACTCGAGTAAACAGAGTCAGAAGCACTAGGGTCAACAACAGCATACATAGCATGAGGAGTTCCTAAGAGATCAAGCAACTGAGAAGCAGACATGCCCCAAAGAGCGGAGCCATACGTCTGAACAAGAGGTAACCAATCAGGGGCAGGGCCGCCAACGCCGAAGGCCAAGCGAACCGTGTCAGTGAGCTGAGCAAAGCACTGACCAGGAGGGTGGGTGCGGCCACAAGGCTGGCCTCGGCGAGCACCTGTCAGAACCTGATAGGTGCACGAAGGGTGAACAACACCTCGCTGAGGCTGACGCAGTCCTGGCCCCGAAACCTGCTGCTGCCGCTGCCGCTGCTGCTGCGGGGGCTGCTGCAAGGGGAGGGGCTGCTGCTGCCGCTGGGCCAGGTACCACGCCGCTGCTCCACCCGCCGCGGCCGGCAGACCAGAAGGTGGCTGACGAGCCCGGGCGTCACCTCCACCGGCTGCAATAGCGGAGTCACCGGCCGCTGCACGCGACGCCTCTCCTGGTCCTGCACTCCCGCCACCACCAGTCGGCACGCCACCCCCACCACCTCCGCCGCCAACGCCTCCACCGCCGCCGCCACCTGTACCCTGACCGCCCCTCTTGCCACCTCTACCTCGAGACCGCGAAGAAGTCGTAACAGCAGCTGCGGTCACGTCAGTAGCAGCAGTGGCGAAAGAGGCTGTAAAGGTGGGCAGCTGAGGGACAGTGCACCCGTGGAACAGTGGAGGGGGCACAGCACCAGAGGCGGAGGCTACAGAGCGGAGGTTGCTCTCAACGTCCTTGAGCGCAGACTCAAGGACCTCGATAGTGAGCTCACTAGGGTGCTTCAGAAGAAGCGTGTCACGAACCGAGGCAAGGCGGTCAGGGAGGCTAGTGGCAATGAAGTAGATAGTAATCGCCATAGGAGGGGGAAGCAGTGCAAGCTGTGCGTCAGTGCAAGCTGCGCGGTAGCTAGAATCGAGCGAGCGGAGGTGAGCAATCAAGTCAGCTGAGCGCTCAAACGAGGCGAGGTCAGGGAACAAGAACGGGAGGAAGAGGCGGCCAAGGGAGAAAGTGGTGGGAGTAGCGTAGCGGGCCTTGATCGCAGTCAGGAACTCACTAGCAGTACGAACCTGAGTGAAGTGGGTCTCCTCAGACTCAGGGAGGAGGCTGCTAAGAGCGATGCAGGCCGCAGCGTCACGTGACTTCCACGCCGTCAGGTCAGCACGCTGGCGGGTAAAGCGGTCTCTGGCGGCGTCGTCAGGGGCAGGGCCTAAAGGCGTAGGGTCGTCGGGCGCAGGAAGGTCGCCAGTAGCGTGCGCCCAGAGGGACTCGCCCGCCTGGACCTCACTCTCTAGAAGGCGACGCGCGCGTAGGAGCCAGACCGGAAACTCGAGCGGTCTACCGTCAGCGTCAAAACGAAGAACCCTAGGGGTCGCCATAGCAAAAGCAAAGTGGCAGGAAGTTCTGCTGCTGAAACCCTAATCAGTGAGAATGACTCACTAGGGCGCTACGGGACATAGGGTAGGGCGCAACACTGCTGGACTAGGAGGGCGCAGCGCCACGGGCAGGGGTAGCGCAACGCGACGCAGCGGGACAGGACGGGCAGCGCGACACGACGCGACGCGACGGGACGGGACGGACTGCGCGACGCGGACGGGCAGCGCGACGCGACTGGACGGGACGGACGGGACGGGACGGGACGGACGGACGGGACGGACGGACGGGACGGGACGGGACGGGACGGACGGACGGGACGGACGGACGGGACAGGACGGGACGGGACGGACGGACGGGACGGACGGACGGGACGGGACGGGACGGGACGGGACGGGACGGGACGGACGGACGGGACGGGACGGGACGGACGGACGGGACGGGACGGGACGGGACGGACGGCGCGACGCGGACAGGCAGCGCGACGCGGACGGACGGGACGGGACTGAAGGCGCGACGCGGACAGACAGCACGACGCGGACGGACGGGACGGGACTGAAGGCGCGACGCAGACGGGCAGCGTGGCGCGGACGGACGGCGCAGCAGGCGCTAGGGCACGAGAGGGACGTAACGGTAGGCGCAGCGGGCGCTAGGGCACGAGAGGGACGTAACGGCAGGCGCAGCGGGTGCTAGGGCACGAGAGGGACGTAACGGCAGGCGCAGCGGGCGCGAGGGCACGAGAGCGACGTAACGGCAGGCGCGATAGGCGCTAGGGCACAGTACGAGTGTAACGGGCACTAGGGTACGGGACAGGCTCGGGCGCTACGGACGTGAACGAGAGGAACGGGATCCCACAGGATCCTAACCTAGGTGATACCATGTACGCGATGTTGCAGGGTGCGCTGAGGAATATCGAGCAAATTCCTTACACCTAGCAAGAATGGAGAGGTGAATTGTGTTCAGAAGGTGCCTCACCAAACCATAAACATGTCTCAAGCCCTTCCAGCCAGAGAACCAAATATTTCACAATGAATGCTGCTTCCTACCTACTGCAATAGCATATATAGATATTTTAAAAAGGGTGCACAGATATGAGCTGGAAAAAAAAAAAGCATCTAACCCTCCCTTCTCATCAATTTAAATTGTGGCAGACTGCAGCATATATAGCACCTTGGGGGCAATGCTACTCCCCCCTGCTTGCAGCAGCTGCCTGTTCAGCTTCCAGAAGGGAAAGTGCCAACGCAAGGCGCATTTGCCCTTCAAAATCATCGGGAACAACCAGCGGCACCCCTCCTTGCTCCCCCGCTGCACCCGCTTCACCACCACCACCACCAGCTGCACCAACAGCAGCACGAGTAGTGCTCTCGCTGCCATCCCCCAAGCCACCCTCCCCACCACCACCAATCCCTCGCATGAGAAAGCTCTCAATCACCTCCTCATCATGCGAATTGTCCTGCTGTCGCTGCATCCCCTCCTGCTGCTGAGCTGCTGCTGCTGCAGATGCCCGTGAAGGGCCCTGCATACCACCCGGACTCTCCTCACCCACATCAGAGCTTGCTGCAGCAGAATTTGACGCGGCACTTGCTGCTGCTACTGCTGCAACACCTGCACCTTCTATTGTTGCTACTGCTGCTGCTGCTGCTGGCAATGCCTCGGGTGCAGGGATGGAATCTACCGGCCTGGGTGCAGCTACTGCGGCTGTGTCAGTGGCAACTGCTGAAGCTGATGCTGATGCTGATGCTGATATTGCTGCTGCAGCTGCTGGTGTTGAGTCTGATGTGCGGCGAGCTGCCTCTTCTTGATCCTGGTGCCGGGTTGAGGAGGGGGAGAAGCAGGGAAGGGAAAGGAAGAGATTTTTGAGTCAAATAAAAGGGTGTTTCTTTAGTTGACCCAGTAATCGCTGGTGTTGAAGATGAATCTGATGTGCGGGGAGCTGCCTCGTCTTGATCCTGATGCCGGGTCGAGGGGAAAGGGGCAAGTGGGGAGGGAGAGACAAATGGACGCCATGAACAACAGCTGCTCTTCCAAATCCACTCCCAAGAAAGGCAAGAAAAGCAGAGCCCCACAGCAGGTAGCATCTGGACAGAGAGCGGCAGAGGAAGCAAGGCGTACCTGCAGCGAGAGCCAGATGGCCTCCATGAGCAAGAGCTCCTCCAAATCCACTCCCAGCTCGTCCGCTCTGATGGCACACGGGACACATGGAGCGGGGATGGCGATTGGAAACATCCAACGTAGAGGAAACATCCAACACATAGAGATGGTTGATGCATGGGACGCATGGAGGTGGGGGGAAGGGGGAAGAGGGAGGCATGAAGAGAAATGAGCGAGAGGGGCATGGAGTGGAAAAGCTTGAAGCACGGAAAAGGGTAGTACATGAAAAGAGGATGGATTGGGGAAGCCGAGAAGAGAGTAGCAACGAAAGAACGGCACACGGCTAGTAAGCAGAATTATACCTCGAAGGGGAGAGCCTGGGAGAGACGGTGGATCCATGGCTACTCGCAGCACCAGTTGCGCCTGGCCCACCTCCCATTGCTCCCACGCCTCTCCCTGACCTCGAACCATATCTTCCCGAACCAGCCCTGGCTCCCACTGCCAAGCCTGCCCCTTCCACCGAGCCTGGGTACCAGGCTCGGGTGCTGCTGCTGGAGCTGCCAGTGGGGGAGGAAAAGGAGGCAGCTGTAGCACCGGCTGTAGCGCCAGCACCACCAGCACCAACACCACCAGCACCACCAGCAGCGCCAGCAGCAGCGGCGGCAGCAGCAGCAGCAGCTCTGCGGCGGGCTCGTTCCAACTCCAGGCGATGGTGGGCCATGTTGCGGTAGAACACGACTTCATCATCATCACCATCATCACGCCACTCACCAAAGTTTGGGACCACTCCTCCGCCTCCCTCTCCCCTTAACCCTCTCCCCCCTGCTCCCCCTCCTCCCATCCCCCCTCCCCTGCCACCAGCACTCCCTCCCACACCATATGTAGGCATCATGCCCCTAACCGCGCCCCCAATGTCAAGAATGAAAGTGTTGGTTCATTGATGTGGGTTGGGGTACATATAACAAACCCTAACATCTGTACCCCCTAAGACAAACCTCACTAAGGCTACAACATTTGACACACCCCCATAGCCTAAGTGAGGGGTGTCTAGCAAAACCAAAAGTGTACGGTCACAAGACCAGTCACAAAGATACAAAGCTCAGGGTGGATCACAACGTCACCACACATTCTGAGCACAAGCAACAGTGGCCACAAGACCAGTCCAAGAGTTCACAAGTGTGTATAGCAAGAGTACAAGCAAAGCAAACAGTAAACTCAAGCCTATACACGACTAGAACCTGTGTCAACAAGGCCTAACAGCACACAACACCTCTGGTGGTCACAAGGCGGAAGCGCCTTGGTGAAGATGTCTGCAGTGTTGGCCTCGGACTCCACAAACACGAAGCGAGCCTGTCCACGCCTCGCAGAAGGAAGTACCTGACGTGAATGTGCTTCACTCTGCTCTCCAGTCGTGGCTCACGACAGAGGAGAATCGACGCCTTGTTGTCAGTGAACAAGGTCGGTGCAGAGCTCGGCCGCTCACCAAGGTCAGCGAGCAAAAATGTCAACCAACGCAGCTCCTGTGCCGCCATGGCACCAGCGTAGATCTCAGCCTCAGCTGTAGAGGTCGAGACCGAAGAGGAGCACGTGGACCGCCATGAAACAGCTCCAGAACCCAAGCTGAAACAGTACCCCTGAGTAGACCTGTGAGTCTCAGCGTCGTCAGCGTAAGAAGAGTCACAGTGACCAGTAAGTACGACAGGCTGCTGCCCTCCAAGAACTAGCCCCACGCCTGATGTCGTCGCTAGGTACTTTGCCACCCTCACAGCTGCCGTCCAGTGAACAGGACGGTGTCTCCCTGCCGCAACAAAGCGAGCAAGGACGCTGAGAGGGAAGGTGAGGTCCGGGCGAGTACAAGTCATTAGGTACATGAGGCAGCCCACTAGCTCTGCGTAGGGACCACTGGACTCAAACGGCTCATCAGGAAAGGGTCCAGTGAGTCTGTGGTCAACAGCAAGAGGTGTGCGCTGTACTGCGGAGTGCTGAAGCTTGAACCGCTGAAGGACCTGCTGCACCATGTGTGACTGTGAGAGTGTAATGGTGCGAGCAGCTCTGTCCCTGGTGATCTGTAGGCCAAGGTAGTGGCGCAGCTCACCAAGGTCAGTGCACGTGTGTCTCTTCTGCAGTTCGGACTTCACGTCTGCCAAGGCAACCCTGTCAGCAGTGGCGAAAACCAGGTCGTCGACGTAGACCAGAACAAAGAACGGTGTAGAGCCACGACGAATGAACAGCGACGGGTCGGCAGAAGACGGCTGGAACCCAAGGTCAGAGAGGGTAGAACGAAGAGTGTCGTGCCACTCACGAGGAGCCTGACGGAGACCGTAGACAGGTCGCCTCAGCCTCCACTGGGTCCCAGGAGGGAAAGTGCCAGTGAAGGCAGAGGGACGACGCAGCCAGACCTCCTCGTGTAGGCTACCCTGAAGAAACGCAGTAGAGAAGTCGAGAGAGTGTGACTCGTAGTCTCTCTGTGCCGCTACGTGCAGTAACACCCGAAGAGTGGTCATCTTCGGGGTGGGCGCGAAGGTCTGAAAGAAGTCAACTCCTTCGCGCTGACTGAAACCTCTAGCCACGTAGCGCGCCTTGAAGACCGGAGGAGATCCCGGTGGCCGCTTCACCCTGTAGATCCACATGCCATCGACTACGTTCGCCCCAGGGGGGGGAACCTCGTCGACGTAGGTGCCTGTGGATCTGTAGGAGGCCATCTCTGCGTCCATGGCAGCTCTCCACTGAGAGGCCCAAGGCCCTGACACTGCCTCAGCGTAAGTGCGAGGAGTCGGTATGACAAGGGCGTCGGGGTCTCCCTCAGGGGCGAGCAGCATGGCACAGAGATGAGGGGAAGCGGCTGCCAGGAACTCTAGCTCAAACTGCCTGTCCTCTAGGGCGTCACAGCCAAGGGCAGACACACCCCCGACGGCCAGAGGACTGGAAGGAGGAGCAGCCACAAGACTGGTGGCGAAGTCAAGGCGGCGAGTAGAGGCAAACTCAGTGACTGCGGCAGTAAGAGCGGAGACAGAGGACACAGAGGCACGAGGGTGGGTAACAAGAGAGGCGAGAACACGAGAGAGAACAGGACGGTACGTGCGGTAGTAGTCAGTGACAGGAGTAGAAAACGAAGCAGTGAGGGCCGACTCAGGAGGAGACGGAAGCACAGACGGAGACGGACGAGGCGGACTAGAACGAAGTAAGGCAGTACGAAGGTCAGGGAAGGGAACAGGGGATGAGGGACGAGCACGAGGGGAGCGACGAGAGGCCCAGGTCTGAGAAGGAGGAGGGGACAACGAAGACTGAGAACGAGGGAAAACAGCTGGAGAGGGGTCAGGAGGAGGAAGCGGAGGACCCGAGACGGGAGGAGAGGGGGAGGAGGAAGGAGAGCGGGAGGGGAGACCGAGGGCCCGAAGACCGGAGACAGGAGGAGGAGGCGGCGGCTGCTGCTGTTGCGGCGGCGGCGGCGGCTGCTGCTGCTGCTGCCGCGGCGGCTGCTGCTGCTCCTCCTGCTGCTGTAGCGGCTCTAACTCCTGCGCCTCCTGCTGCTGCGGCGGCTCCAGCCGCGGCTGCTGCAGCTTCTCCTGCTGCTGCTGCTCCTCCAGCCGCTGCAACTCTCTCTCCTCTCTCTCCAACTCCAGCTGCTCCTCACGGGCACGGCGAACACGAGCCTGGTGCCGGGTCGGGTAGGGGTGGGGGGGAGGAGTAGTGTCGGGGGCTGCGGCAGCCCCGGGACCGCCCTCCAAAGCACCTGGCGCACCACCCCCAGAGTCAGCACCACCAACAGCAACACGACCAGGCTCACCAGGACCCGAAGAGGGTGCACCCGTACCCCCAGACGTAGCACCCCCAAAGTCAGCAGGACCAACACCAGCTCCCGGAAGACAAGAGTCTCCTACAACCACGGGCTCAGCTCCAATTCCAGCACCTCCAGAGCTAGCACCAGTAGGGCCCTCTCCACGAGCACCGGCTCCCACAGGGTCTGCAGCAGGCTGCGAGGAGGACTGCGGGGAAGGAGGCTGCACCTGAGGGGCGACCGAGGGGGGAGGGGTAGCCTGGGACACACCTGACAGGGCGGGACCAGGGGGGGGAGGCTGTACCGGGGGAGCAGGAGGGGGAGCGGAAGTCAGGAAGAGAGGGGGAGGAGGAACCGGGAGACCTCGACTGGGGTACCTGACGTAGTAGGGGGTGGACTCCTCGAAACGGACGTCACGAGAGTCAAAGAACCGGTGAGAGGGAGGGTGGTAAAAGGTGAAGTCAGAGGAGTCCTCAGGGAAACCAAGGAAGACACAGGGAACGGCGCGAGGCGAGAGCTTGTCCGCGGAAGTGTCGCGGACAAGAGCCAAGCAACCCCAGACACGAAACCTCGACGCAACACCAGGGGACCCGGTCCAAAGACCGGTCGGTGAAGCCTCTGGCCGAGAGACACGTGGCCAGAGGTTCAGCTGGTGAGCGGCGTACCTAACCGCGTAGGGCCACAGAAAATGGGGGGCACGGGCGTGAGTCAAGGAGGTGCGGGCGATCTCCATGACCAAGCCTATGCGGCGCTCAGCAACCCCATTCTGCTGTGGGGACTCTGGAAGCGTCCAGGACTGACGAATGCCCTGCTCGCGACAGAATCCAGCGAGAATGCCGGAGCGAAACTCACCCCCACGGTCAGAGTGAAGACAGCTGACACGACGACCACGAGTGCCCTCAGTGGTAAGCAACCACCTGATCAGCGTAGAAGTCACCTCAGACTTTTTCGCCAGGGGGAACACTGTGGTGTAGCGGGAGTAGTCGTCAACGACCACCAAAAAGAAACGCTCGCGCTCAGGGCCAAGGCGAGGGGCGGGGCCCCAGACGTCCAAGTGGAGCGTCTCAAAAGGCTCGGTGGCCGGACGAAGGGAGGAGGAGTGAGGGGTGGCGCGCAGCCGACCCTCGACGCAGGGACCGCACGGCGGTGCAAGCGAAGGCGGGAGCGACGGCAGGACACGCGGGAGGCCTAAGACAAGACGCTGACGAGACATAGCGCGCAGACGAGGGAGGGACGGGTGCCCCGTCCGGTGGTGCCACAAAACGGTGGGGTGTGCAAGCGACCGGCATGAGCACGACGCAACAACTGGACCAGACACGGGAACCTGACCAGACACAGCTACCTGGGGGGACGCAGCAACCTGGTGAGACGCAGGGACCAGACTGGGGGAAGTAACCGGGGCCAGGGGGAGGACTCGCCGCTGCTGCTGCTGCCGCTCCTGCTGCTGCTGCTGCGGCTGCTGCTGCTGCTGCTGCTGCTGCTGCTGCTGCTGCTGCTGCTGCTGCTGCTGCTGCTGCTGCTGCTGCTGCTGCTGCTGCTGCTGCTGCTGCTGCGGCTGCTGCTGCTGCTGCTGCGGCTGCTGCTGCTGCTGCTGCGGCTGCTGCTGTTGCTGCCCACCAGGGCCAATGTGAAGTGTGTAGAGACAAGAGCCCGGCTCGGCAGTAAAGGTGGCAAGAGGCGAGTAAGTGTCGCCGTCAACACAAACCGCCGTCTCACTAGAGGGCTCAATCCACACACCCACGTGCTGACTCACAAGAGGCCTCACGCCCACCAAGTTCCTCGAGAACGAGGGGACGTGGAAGCCAGTCAGAGACCCAGAGGGAACAGCAGGGCAAGGAAGAGTAGTAGTGTAGCGAGCAGTGACTGGTCCCGAGGTGGGATCGGCCAGGGCCACAGAGACTGGCGCAGGAAGTGGAGTAAGTGTCGTGTGGTCGCGGAAGAAGCAGTGCGAAGCCCCAGAGTCCAGAGTGAAAGACAGCGAAGCGTCCTCCGAAGTAGCGCCTGGACTAGTGTCTACACAAGTGCCTACATTAGCAACAGGCAACTCAGCAAGACTAGCACCTAAGCTAACAACACTCGAGTAAACAGAGTCAGAAGCACTAGGGTCAACAACAGCATACATAGCATGAGGAGTTCCTAAGAGATCAAGCAACTGAGAAGCAGACATGCCCCAAAGAGCGGAGCCATACGTCTGAACAAGAGGTAACCAATCAGGGGCAGGGCCGCCAACGCCGAAGGCCAAGCGAACCGTGTCAGTGAGCTGAGCAAAGCACTGACCAGGAGGGTGGGTGCGGCCACAAGGCTGGCCTCGGCGAGCACCTGTCAGAACCTGATAGGTGCACGAAGGGTGAACAACACCTCGCTGAGGCTGACGCAGTCCTGGCCCCGAAACCTGCTGCTGCCGCTGCCGCTGCTGCTGCGGGGGCTGCTGCAAGGGGAGGGGCTGCTGCTGCCGCTGGGCCAGGTACCACGCCGCTGCTCCACCCGCCGCGGCCGGCAGACCAGAAGGTGGCTGACGAGCCCGGGCGTCACCTCCACCGGCTGCAATAGCGGAGTCACCGGCCGCTGCACGCGACGCCTCTCCTGGTCCTGCACTCCCGCCACCACCAGTCGGCACGCCACCCCCACCACCTCCGCTGCCAACGCCTCCACCGCCGCCGCCACCTGTACCCTGACCGCCCCTCTTGCCACCTCTACCTCGAGACCGCGAAGAAGTCGTAACAGCAGCTGCGGTCACGTCAGTAGCAGCAGTGGCGAAAGAGGCTGTAAAGGTGGGCAGCTGAGGGACAGTGCACCCGTGGAACAGTGGAGGGGGCACAGCACCAGAGGCGGAGGCTACAGAGCGGAGGTTGCTCTCAACGTCCTTGAGCGCAGACTCAAGGACCTCGATAGTGAGCTCACTAGGGTGCTTCAGAAGAAGCGTGTCACGAACCGAGGCAAGGCGGTCAGGGAGGCTAGTGGCAATGAAGTAGATAGTAATCGCCATAGGAGGGGGAAGCAGTGCAAGCTGTGCGTCAGTGCAAGCTGCGCGGTAGCTAGAATCGAGCGAGCGGAGGTGAGCAATCAAGTCAGCCGAGCGCTCAAACGAGGCGAGGTCAGGGAACAAGAACGGGAGGAAGAGGCGGCCAAGGGAGACAGTGGTGGGAGTAGCGTAGCGGGCCTTGATCGCAGTCAGGAACTCACTAGCAGTACGAACCTGAGTGAAGTGGGTCTCCTCAGACTCAGGGAGGAGGCTGCTTAGAGCGATGCAGGCTATGGCGACCCCTAGGGTTCTTCGTTTTGACGCTGACGGTAGACCGCTCGAGTTTCCGGTCTGGCTCCTACGCGCGCGTCGCCTTCTAGAGAGTCAGGTCCAGGCGGGCGAGTCCCTCTGGGCGCACGCTACTGGCGACCTTCCTGCGCCCGACGACCCTACGCCTTTAGGCCCTGCCCCTGACGATGCCGCCAGAGACCGCTTTACCCGCCAGCGTGCTGACCTGACGGCGTGGAAGTCGCGTGACGCTAAGTGGCAGGAAGTTCTGCTGCTGAAACCCTAATCAGTGAGAATGACTCACTAGGGCGCTACGGGACATAGGGTAGGGCGCAACACTGCTGGACTAGGAGGGCGCAGCGCCACGGGCAGGGGTAGCGCGACGCGACGCAGCGGGACAGGACGGGCAGCGCGACACGACGCGACGCGACGGGACGGGACGGACTGCGCGACGCGGACGGGCAGCGCGACGCGACTGGACGGGACGGACGGGACGGACGGGACGGGACGGACGGACGGGACGGGACGGGACGGACGGACGGGACGGACGGATGGGACAGGACGGGACGGGATGGGCGGACGGGACGGACGGACGGGACGGGACGGGACGGACGGACGGGACGGACGGACGGGACGGGACGGACGGACGGGACAGGACGGGACGGGACGGACGGACGGGACGGACGGACGGGACGGGACGGACGGACGGGACGGACGGACGGGACGGGACGGGACGGGACGGGACGGACGGACGGGACGGGACGGGACGGGACGGACGGCGCGACGCGGACAGGCAGCGCGACGCGGACGGACGGGACGGGACTGAAGGCGCGACGCGGACAGACAGCACAACGCGGACGGACGGGACGGGACTGAAGGCGCGACGCAGACGGGCAGCGTGGCGCGGACGGACGGCGCAGCGGGCGCTAGGGCACGAGAGGGACGTAACGGCAGGCGCAGCGGGCGCTAGGGCACGAGAGGGACGTAACGGCAGGCGCAGCGGGTGCTAGGGCACGAGAGGGACGTAACGGCAGGCGCAGCGGGCGCGAGGGCACGAGAGCGACGTAACGGCAGGCGCGATAGGCGCTAGGGCACAGTACGAGCGTAACGGGCACTAGGGTACGGGACAGGCTCGGGCGCTACGGACGTGAACGAGAGGAACGGGATCCCACAGGATCCTAACCTAGGTGATACCATGTACGCGATGTTGCAGGGTGCGCTAAGGAATATCGAGCAAATTCCTTACACCTAGCAAGAATGGAGAGGTGAATTGTGTTCAGAAGGTGCCTCACCAAACCATAAACATGTCTCAAGCCCTTCCAGCCAGAGAACCAAATATTTCACAATGAATGCTGCTTCCTACCTACTGCAATAGCATATATAGATATTTTAAAAAGGGTGCACAGATATGAGCTGGAAAAAAAAAAGCATCTAACCCTCCCTTCTCATCAATTTAAATTGTGGCAGACTGCAGCATATATAGCACCTTGGGGGCAATGCTACTCCCCCCTGCTTGCAGCAGCTACCTGTTCAGCTTCCAGAAGGGAAAGTGCCAACGCAAGGCGCATTTGCCCTTCAAAATCATCGGGAACAACCAGCGGCACCCCTCCTTGCTCCCCCGCTGCACCCGCTTCACCACCACCACCACCAGCTGCACCAACAGCAGCACGAGTAGTGCTCTCGCTGCCATCCCCCAAGCCACCCTCCCCACCACCACCAATCCCTCGCATGAGAAAGCTCTCAATCACCTCCTCATCATGCGAATTGTCCTGCTGTCGCTGCATCCCCTCCTGCTGCTGAGCTGCTGCTGCTGCAGATGCCCGTGAAGGGCCCTGCATACCACCCGGACTCTCCTCACCCACATCAGAGCTTGCTGCAGCAGAATTTGACGCGGCACTTGCTGCTGCTACTGCTGCAACACCTGCACCTTCTATTGTTGCTACTGCTGCTGCTGCTGCTGGCAATGCCTCGGGTGCAGGGATGGAATCTACCGGCCTGGGTGCAGCTACTGCGGCTGTGTCAGTGGCAACTGCTGAAGCTGATGCTGATGCTGATGCTGATATTGCTGCTGCAGCTGCTGGTGTTGAGTCTGATGTGCGGCGAGCTGCCTCTTCTTGATCCTGGTGCCGGGTTGAGGAGGGGGAGAAGCAGGGAAGGGAAAGGAAGAGATTTTTGAGTCAAATAAAAGGGTGTTTCTTTAGTTGACCCAGTAATCGCTGGTGTTGAAGATGAATCTGATGTGCGGGGAGCTGCCTCGTCTTGATCCTGATGCCGGGTCGAGGGGAAAGGGGCAAGTGGGGAGGGAGAGACAAATGGACGCCATGAACAACAGCTGCTCTTCCAAATCCACTCCCAAGAAAGGCAAGAAAAGCAGAGCCCCACAGCAGGTAGCATCTGGACAGAGAGCGGCAGAGGAAGCAAGGCGTACCTGCAGCGAGAGCCAGATGGCCTCCATGAGCAAGAGCTCCTCCAAATCCACTCCCAGCTCGTCCGCTCTGATGGCACACGGGACACATGGAGCGGGGATGGTGATTGGAAACATCCAACGTAGTGGAAACATCCAACACATAGAGATGGTTGATGCATGGGACGCATGGAGGTGGGGGGAAGGGGGAAGAGGGAGGCATGAAGAGAAATGAGCGAGAGGGGCATGGAGTGGAAAAGCTTGAAGCACGGAAAATGGTAGTACATGAAAAGAGGATGGATTGGGGAAGCCGAGAAGAGAGTAGCAACGAAAGAACGGCACACGGCTAGTAAGCAGAATTATACCTCGAAGGGGAGAGCCTGGGAGAGACGGTGGATCCATGGCTACTCGCAGCACCAGTTGCGCCTGGCCCACCTCCCACTGCTCCCACGCCTCTCCCTGACCCCGAACCATATCTTCCCGAACCAGCCCTGGCTCCCACTGCCAAGCCTGCCCCTTCCACCGAGCCTGGGTACCAGGCTCGGGTGCTGCTGCTGGAGCTGCCAGTGGGGGAGGAAAAGGAGGCAGCTGTAGCACCGGCTGTAGCGCCAGCACCACCAGCACCAACACCACCAGCACCACCAGCAGCGCCAGCAGCAGCGGCGGCAGCAGCAGCAGCAGCAGCTCTGCGGCGGGCTCGTTCCAACTCCAGGCGATGGTGGGCCATGTTGCGGTAGAACACGACTTCATCATCACCACCATCATCACGCCACTCACCAAAGTTTGGGACCACTCCTCCGCCTCCCTCTCCCCCTAACCCTCTCCCCCCTGCTCCCCCTCCTCCCATCCCCCCTCCCCTGCCACCAGCACTCCCTCCCACACCATATGTAGGCATCATGCCCCTAACCACGCCCCCAACCCAAACCTCACCCCCATCCCCACCCCCTACTCCGCCCGTCCCGCCACCGGCCCCATACCTCCCACCACCATCATTCACGCCTGGAGAGTACCCTCCCCCACCCGGCAAATGCAGATGATTCGGCCGCACCCCTGCTCCCGCCCCTGCTCCCCCTCCTGCAAACGGCCCCTCCCACCAATTGTGACTAGCCGTCTGGTTACCACCGCGGCCGCTGTTACTGCTGGGGCGGGAGGTGGAACGGCCTATGCCCCCCCTCTCTCGAGAGGAGGACGAGGCGGAGGAGGAGAGCTGCAGGGAGGAACGGAGGACCCCCATGCCTGTGTCGCTGCTGCCACTGGCTGCTGCTGCTTCTGCTGCTGCTGCTTCTGCTGCTTCTCCTGTCTCCCCTGCTGTTTCGCCTGCTACTGACGAAGCACTCGTGGCAGCAGCAGCAGCAGATGTGGGGGGCGTAGGAGGAGTGCGAGAGGGCGGGGGGGTGGTGGGAGGGAGCGTGGAGGAGGTGGAGGAGGAATTGAGGGAAGAGGCAGCTTCTGTTGCCGCCTGGCGTTCCGCCACCCGTGCTGCATACGCCTCCTCCTCCTCCTGCCGCATCCTTATCTTTGCTTCTATCACCTTCTGCTCCTCCTGTTCAGGATTAAAAAATGGCGAAACACATAAGGAACAAGAACAGAGACAATTCGAGTGTGTGACGCGAAGATGGAGAAAAACAAAAGAAAAAGTAGCCGGCGGGAAAGAACACGAGAGTTCAAACAGAGCAAGCAGCTGTGCAACAAAGGGAGAAAATTTTCTGACTCAACTCAACCACATCATACCTCCAGCTCCACGTTTCTCTCCTCTGCTGTGCGTTTCCCCCGAAATTCCACCGAGAATGTTGGCGCCTTGCAGAACGGACACCTGAGAGGTGACACGCTGCAAGAGAAGCTGATTAGCGGTGATAGAAGGCGATAAGTGGCGAAAGAAAGGTATTCACCAGTGAACGACAGAGGTGACAGAGGGGGGGAGGGTAGACAAGGAAATTACGAGCGAAAAACAAGACGAGGAGGAGGAGGAGGAGGAGGAGGAGGAGGAGGAGGAGGAGGAGGAGGAGAGCAGGAGAGAGGAGGGAGAAGAGGAAGTAGCAGAGGAGAGTGAGCAAGGGGGAAAGAAATGAGAGGGCTGGGTGGAACTCACTGCAGCATGCTGGAGGCCGTTGGGGACTTCATTTGCAAAAAGCACTCTGCAAGGGACGTATTAACGTGAAAAGAGACGGAGCGTGTGAACAAACAAACACCAGCAGTTATTAGCGTGTTGAATTTTGAGTCGACTTCAAGTAAAAAAGAGACGGAGCATGTGAACAAACAAACACCAGCAGTTATGACCGTGCAGGTGCTTTCACGAAACAGACAGAGTTAAACAGAGTTAAAAATGGCACCGAAACGAAACAGTAGCTAGCTTACCACGGAAGGGGCAACAATGAGATTTCTTTGCATTCCTTGTTGCGAAGCTGGGTGCGTCAGCTTTGGCTGAGGACGGAGCGAAGCAGAGAAAGAGGAGTGACTTTTGAGAATTCTCAAAAGTCACTCTAACATAGCTGGGTGCGTCAGCTTTGGCTGAGGACGGAGCGAAGCAGAGAAAGAGGCGTTACCTGTGCACATGCCCTTCCTGCAGCATCTCGATCGATTTAGACATGGATAGTTCTGTCAAAACAAGGGAAAAGATTACAGGAGCGAGGCACAGACAGGCAGACAGGCATCAACTATACAGGAGGACTCCCGAACCATGAGACTGAGGACATCTGAATCACGCAACCCGTGAATTCCGAATCATAACTACGCCACCCATACAACAGGAGGTCAAACATCGTTACATAGATGATAACTATTACTTCACGCCTGGGGGGGGGCGGCAAGGGATTTCTTAGGAATGAGGTCCACAACCTGTACCAGCAATGTACATGAGACAAGCAATATCCCGTTGAGCAAGCAGCACTCACGAGGAAGAAGATGGGGCACTCATCCTTGTCGCTACTGGGTTCGTCCCCCCCCCCCCCCACGTGGCATGGCGCGAGCGAGCTTAACTTCAAGAATTATTTTCTAGTGGACTCGGAAAACACTATCGATACTCACGAGAAAACAGATAGGGCATTCGTCGAGGTCGCTGCTGTGTTCCTCGCCGCCCACGTGGCACGGAGCTAGCAAGCTTATTCCAGGATATTTTTTGAGTGGACTCAGAAAACACTCTCAGCACTCACGAGGAAGCAGATGGGGCATTCGTCCAGGTCGCTGCTGGGTTCGTCGCCGCCCACGTGGCACGGAGCGAGCTTGGCGTCGAGAATGAGCCGTCGAAGCTTCTTCAGGTCGATGTCGCGGTGCGGGTACAGCCCCTGCGGGTGCGTGTACTGCTCCTCCACCGTACACCGTCGCTTTGTAACCTTGTTACCCATCGCTGCAGATAAGTGGTTCTTCCTGATTCGCGAACCACCTCCGGGTATGATGCTAGCAGTGTAGCAACACTATCCAATCCACACGTTACCAGGTGGAGGTCCGAGAGAAAGGCCCGCGGCCTCGCGCAACCTCCCCAGGGAACAAAGCAACGGCCTAGAGACGCGTTAGTCTACGCGTTAAGCCAACTAAGTAGCGGACCTAATCAATTCACCTAGACTCCTCCGTCGTTAGATTTCCGTTCTAGACCGAATCAGCGAATAACGAAGCTAGGGGAAGTAGACGGAGATAGCATCGCCTTGCCAGAATACAAATCCGGAGATTTCTAAAAAGGCGCTCACGAGTCAAGCTTAGGTCACCACGGTCGCAGGCCTGCGAACGCCAGGTTCGGAGCTCTCAGTAGACTGAAGCCAGAACAAGCCATTGCGTGGCTCAAGGTAGGTAGGTTGCGTGGCTCAAGGCTCGTTGCGAAGTTCAAGGCAGAACAAGGCAGGTTGTTCGCAGCTGCGACTCTCTACTGCAAGGACGCTTCAGTGAAAAGAGCAACCGCAAGCAGGTATTTGTTGGTAGTCGCTATCCTGGCTTTAAAACGAAGCGTTCGTGCTTGTATTAGTTGCATCAGCGAGCACGTAGCTGCCACCAACCGACGTGCCTTCGCCCTCGTCGAACGAAGCAAGGAAGTCGGACCGTGCGACTAGCAGTAGGTAGGGACCTAAGCTACAGAACTGCAGCTACAGATTCCTAAAGGATTTTCAAACGCTCAATAGCGATTGCTGATTCGAGAAGGAAGTACCTACAATCGAACAAGCGAAACCTATCTGTGTGGTCCGAAAGATGGCTTCTATTGACTCATTCACTGCCTTTCCCGAAGAGCTTTCTTGTAACATCGGCTGAAAGGACATGACTCATGAGTCATGAACCACACGGAGTTCCCTAGGAATGCGGAGTTTCCGAGAATGGCCCAGGCGATTGCCCTTCTGTGCAGGTTGTGCCTCTCCTGTCCGTGTCCTTCACTCCAAATCCCTGTGATCTCTCCTGCTGATAATACCTTCAAACAGAGGGACTGAGAACGTTTAGGTTCGTTAAATCACGATTGTTGGCGGTTATGATGTATGAACTGCCTGCTGCACACCGAACCTCCAATCTAGCTCGAGCCTCCGCAATAGCCCCGTTTTGGAAGAAACTGACCTGCCGTCGAGGCTCCTTCTGATGGTGTTTTGACGGGCAGGTCGCACAGCACGGGTATCCATGGCAAGACGACTAACCGGCGAACACCAAGCGACAGCTGTGCGCCGCCGAATTTCTGCCTTTCGCTGTGGGTTATGGTTGTGTCGCTGGGCCGGTTCGGGTTTACACGCGTCGCATGCGAATAGATGAGCGCGAGTAGGTTCGGTAATCCGAAAGAAACATTTGACTGCAGCCGCGATGAAGGGCAAGCTGGTACGGTGAACCCAGAACAAGCGGTTCGGTATAGACATAACTGCGAAAAGAATAAGCAGGACATGAATCATGAAGCAATGATTGTAGCAACCTTATGAAGTTGTGGAACATCCCAAGTGGGGCATGCGTGACATAATCGAGCACAACAGATACTTTTCCTATAGTAACTCGCTTAGGAAGGCTAATAACAGGACACAGAATCCGTCTTGAGCTTTCCTTTCCTTCCTCCAGCACTTGGGTGCTGGCTCTTAGTCTAAACCCCTCTTAGACTTCTTTGTAAGTCTCTTAGTGCCGGTGTTTCCCGCGTCGGGCTTCGGTCGTCTCGTGGATAGCCTATCTTTCGGTTCCATTCCGACACTCCCAGCTGCCTAGGTTTCTTGCTACGATGGGGACGAAGCTTCCAACGAAAGAGGCCAATCAGTTCAAGCTTATTGTGGTGCGTAGGCTTAGATTCACAAGCTCCCTCCGTAGTCAATCTCAGGATATTAGGGTCGCTCATCTGTCCACCCAGGCGTCGAAAAATGTGATTTCAATAAAGTTGAAATAGGCTTCGCCGTAATAACGTTCGGCCTAATGGCGTTTGTCCCAACGTCGTTAACAACTGTCTTCTCAATCCCAGCAAGTTTGGACCACCTATCTCGTGATTACGTGGTTTCGTGACTACTCAATTTCTGATCTGCCTGCATTGGTGGACGTCCGTCACTGTCAGCTGATCGGGGTTTTAGTAATACGCGCGCTTCAATGTGGAAGGGTAGAGTGAAGATTCTCCCAGTCCCCTGTTTCTTTCTCGAGGAATTTGCTGCAAATCTAGCCTGTCGTGAAATGGCAGACAAAGATCCAGTCTATCGCGTATGCTGATTACACCTCCGCGCCTCGTCCCCTAACTCAAATTCAGCTGAGCATAGAAGCTCATGCTCGGCATCACGCGTTGCGTGATATTCCGGCTGTTTGCGAGAATGCTCGGCGCCATTCGTTGCGTGATATCCTCCAAGGCACTGTATCTGCTGGTCTCAAGCCTCGCGGCCCTCCATTATCCCTTCTATCCCCTCAAACCAACCCCGTTATAAGCAGAAATCGTACGAGACGAAGCAGTACAAGAAGGGACTCAAAGCCGCGGATGCGATTCTCAAGAAGTTCCCGGAGCATGGCGGTACGCACGGATGGGACCAGGGTTGTGATTGGGCTTGTGCCTGTGCTTGTTCGTGTGCTTGTGATTGTGTTTTGAGATGAATATGGGTGGTAGGGAAGGCAGAGGGCAGAAGGGAAAGGAGAGCAGGGGGCAGCTGGGTCGAGAGAATGGGGGCAAAGAAATGAGATCTTAAAAGTGATCCCAATGTAGCTGGCTGCGTGCACCCCTTTTGTGAAAGAATCTCAGCTCGTGCCACATAATCGCCCGTCGGAATCCGTCGCCCATGAAGTGTTCCGCGGTGGCTTATATCGAGTATATCTTCTGACTTCCCCGCCCTCAGAGACCCTGGCGATGAAGGGTCTGATTATGAACTGCATGGAGAAGAAGACGCAGGCTTATGAGCTCGTGCGGAAGGGGCTTAAGGTACGGTTTCTCAGGCAAATTGGTTCTTACGAGCTTGTGCTTTCGAGCTGGTGTCTATGATTACCATCCAAGTGCATCTGAGGCAACACGCAAAAACCTCCTGCCGTGTAGATTCGCTTGAGACGTCTCAATCTCGTATTGTGGTCCTTCTGCCAACCACTCCCCCTCCCTGACCCCACTTCCCCTTCTTCGCCTCCATCTTCCTTGACAGTTCGACCTGTCATCCCACGTGTGCTGGCACGTGTACGGGCTGCTGTACCGGTCGGACCGGGAGTATCGAGACGCCATCAAGTGCTACCTCAACGCCCTGCGCATCGACCCCAACAACCAGCAGATCCTCAAAGACCTCTCGCTGCTGCAGGTGCGCCCACCCGCTGCTGCAGGTGACTCACAGTAAACACATGCGTGCATGCATGCATTTTCAGGTGCATTCTGTGTTTCCAGGCCCTTTTCAAATAGCTGGCGGCCGTTTGTTAGGATTCTCACATCCACCCTGCAATTTCCGAACGCAGGTGCAAATGCGGGACACGGCGGGGTTTGTGGAGTCACGGCGGCAGCTGCTGACCTTCAAGCCCAACCACCGTGCCAACTGGATCGCCTTCGCCGTCGCCAACCACATCAACGGCAGGTGAGCTGGTGGCAGGTGGGATGGTGGTGTGGGCAGGTCATTGAAAGACAGTCAGCTGCTGACCTTGAAGCCCAACCACCGTGCCAACTGGATCGCCTTCGCCGTCGCCAACCACATCAACGCCAGGTGAGGTGGATGGTAACAGGTGGGTGATGTGCGTGCGTGGTGTGGCTTGTGGGATGGTGGTGCGGGCGGGCGGGTCATTGACAGACAGGTAGCTGCTGACCTTGAAGCCCAACCACCGGGCCAACTGGATTGCTTTTGCTGTCGCCAACCACATCAACGGCAGGTGAGGTCCTAGCAGGCGAGCTTGATCTGGTCTGGGGTGGGGGGTCGGTGGCAGGGTTGATGTGCAGCTGGTTGGGCGAATGGGATGGTGGGGTTCACTTACGGATAGGTTGACAGCTGCTGACCTTCAAGCCCAACCACCGCGCCAACTGGATGGCCTTTGTTGTCACCACACATACCTCATGCACTCCCACCGCACGCCGTCGCACCCCACCACACGTCACCGCATTCCACCCCATCCCACCGTGCAGGCTGGACGTGGCGGCTCAGATCCTGTCAGCGTATGAGGGCACTCTGGAGGACGAGTCGCCTCCGGACGGGGAGAAGTACGAGCACAGCGAGATGCTGCTTTACAAGGTAACCTTGCTAGAAAAGGGAACTCTGTTGCGAGATGCTACTGTGTACGGTAGGATTTTATTTGAGTCCATTTTCTAGTTCAAGTTCCACCCCTTCTTTCCCCCCCCCTTCCTCCTCCCCCCTCCCCCTCTCCCTCCTTTCCTTATTCCGTCTCCATCAATTTGAATTGTTTTCAGCAAGTTGACTTGAGGTTTTTAAATGAGCATGTTTTGGCGGTTTGGCTGGTCGTTTGAAGCATGCCAGGGGCCCTGCTGCAGGCCTCTCAGGCCTATCGGAAGCCTCCCTGGTGCACCCATGCCTGACCGACCCACCAAGCCTGACAAACCGACCCACCAAGCCTGACTAACCGACCCACCAAGCCTGACTAACCGACCCACCAAGCCTGACTAACCGACCCATGCCTGGCCCACCCCCTGTCACGGCAGGTGTCGCTGCTGGCGGAGGCAGGCAAGCACGCGGAGGCCCTGGATGAACTGAGCAAGAAGCAGCGCCACATTGTGAGTCAAGAGAGTCAAAAGCGTCAAGAGAGTCAAGAGATGCAGAATGAAAGTTTGAGCATTGTGAGCAGTGGAGTGAGAGAGTGTCAGCTCTCCCTGTGGCAGAAGCAAGCAAGCATGCGGAGGCCCTGGAGGAGCTGAGCAAGAAGCAGCGCCACATCGTGAGTGGAATGGAGTCAAGGGATATACGCGAGTGAGGGAGTGAGGGACCAGAACATGTTTTGAGTGAGGGGAGAGCAGAGGGATCGCACCTTACAGGGTAGAACCCTTGCTGTTTGTGCCCCATTGACGCTTGATCTTTCTCCATTCCTGCCCCATCCATCTGTGTTTCATCCCTACCTCATTGCCTCACAGGTGGACAAGCTGGGAGTGAGGGAGCAGAGGGCGGAGCTGCTGCACCTTACAGGCCGTAGCGAGGAGGCTAGAAGCGAGTACGAAGCTCTGCTGGCGATCAACCCGGACAACTACAAGCACTACGAGGGGCTGCAGGCGTGCATGGGGCTGAAAGCGAGTGCTGCGGATGGCAGCTACACGCCCGAGCAGCTGGAAAAGCTGTCGGAGCTCTTCAAAGGGCTGCAGGAGAACTACCCCAAGTCCGCTGCTGCTAAGGTGAGCCGGTTTCCAGGAGGTGGCCAAGTGGTGCGAAAATGAGACGTGAGGCTACAAGCACCACAAGGGCCTGCAGGCGTGCATGGGGCTCGAGACAAGAATGCCTCAGATGGCGCCTCCTACTCGCCGGAGCAGCTGGTGCAGGCAGCTGACGAAGTTCTACAAAGGGCTGCAGGAGAACTACCCCAAGTCCGCTGCTGCTAAGGTGAGCCTATCGCCAAGAAGAGATGGCCAAGTGTTGCTGAACTGAGACGAGAGAGTGCAAGCACTTCGAGGGCCTGCGTGAAATCACTTTTGAGAATTCTCAAAACTGAGACGAGAGAGTGCAAGCACTATGAGGGCCTGCGTGCGGCCTCATATGATCCGCACCAGCAGCAGCCCTTCCCTTCTCAACTCATTCTCTTTTCCCCCTTCCATGTTGCTGTTACTGCTTCCAAAGAATACCTCTGGACTTTCTGCAAGGAGCAGATTTCAATTCGAGGTGGCACTGCAGCCGCACGTGAGGCGATTCATCTGCAAGGAGAGAGGAGAGGATCCCGTTTCTGCTCTAAGTTCTCCCATGCTTTTCGCCCTCCCCCCTCTGTGCTCCTGTCACGCCCTTTCACCAGAGAATACCTCTGGACTTCCTCCAAGGGGCAGACTTCGAGGCTGCCCTGCAGCCGCACGTGAGGCGGTTCATCCGCAAGGGCATCCCCTCCCTCTTCTCCGACCTTGAACCGCTCTACGACCAGCCAGGCAAGGTGAGCAGAGAGGTGAGCAGAGAGGTGGGGAGAGAGGTGGGGAGAGAGGTGGGGAGAGAGGTGGGGAGAGAGGTGGGGAGAGAGGTGGGGAGAGAGGTGGGGAGAGAGGTGGGGAGAGAGGTGGGGAGAGAGGTGGGGAGAGAGGTGGGGAGAGAGGTGGGGAGAGAGGTGGGGAGAGAGGTGGGCAGAGAGGTGGGGAGAGAGGTGTGAGGAGAGAGGTGGGGAGAGAGGTGGGCAGAGAGGTGGGGAGAGAGGTGTGAGGAGAGAGGTGAGGAGAGGTGTGAGGAGAGAGGTGAGGAGAGGTGTGAGGAGAGGTGTGAGGAGAGAGGTGAGGAGAGGTGTGAGGAGAGGTGTGAGGAGAGGTGTGAGGAGAGAGGTGAGGAGAGGTGTGAGGAGAGGGGTGAGGAGAGTGGTGAGGAGAGAGGCAAGGTGAGCTTTTGAATCGGTGGGGATACGGGCCTCACCTCTCTCCTCACCTTGCTACTGAAGCTCACAGGTTGAGTGCAGCAGGACCGTGTGCTCTCAGCCATGCTGCACTCAACTCCATCTGCTTCTTCAACACATTCCCCCGTGCCACTCCCCCGCCATTCTCCACCACTCTCTCAGAAACTCCCGTGTTCCAGTTTATGTCCCTGTGCACCCCTCTCCGCGCAGGCTGACATCATGGACCGTGTATTCACAGCCATGCTCACAGCCATGCTCCACTCCACTCCATCCGCTCCTTTATCAGAGTCTCTGTTCTCATGTTGCGCTCTTTCCTCCCTCGTATTTTCCATTTCTCCAAACCCCATTGCACCCCTCGGCCCACAGGCGGACATCATGGACAAGGTCTTCACAGCCATGCTGCACTCCATCCGCTCCTCCGGCAAATTCCCTCCTCTCAGGTGTCCTCCTTGGTGGTGCCCCTCTAATGCTCCATGCCTGATTTCCACCTTTCTTTCTTCACCGTTCCCTTCTCTCCACTCCCTCCGTTCCTCTGGTATATTATGGGTACTTTACATCGCCTGTGGATCCCATATGATTTCTTTCTACACGTGGATTCAGATCCTTATTGCTCTGTGGTTGGTTCTATTCTCTGCCGCCCGTTCCTTGTCCATCCCTCCAGTGACACGTCAGCAGAAGAGGACAAAGAGAACCCCTCTGTGCTTCTCTGGCTGCTATATCTTATGGCTCAGGTATTTAACCCCTTATTTGGTGCTTGCATAATAACTCAATACAAACGGCTCACGGTTGTTTTCTGCTAATGACTCCTCCCATTTTTTATTCAGGTGTGCAAACAACAGTGGTGATCTTTCTTTTCGCGTTCCCTCACACTCTCTGACTCTGTCTCATCCGGCCCTCATTCGCAGCATCTGGACAGGCGGGGCAAGGTGAAGGAGGCATTGGCGATCGTAGACGAGGCCATCGCTCACACGCCCACACTCATGGATGCCTACCTGGTCAAGGTGGGTGGGTGGGCAGGCGCTAAATGTCCAAACTGGGCATGAGTCTGCCTTGGTGCGCTAATGGAATCGTCTGTGAGGTGCGAGGTGTGCATGAGGCAACCTTGATTGATGTACGGAAGGAATATATTTGGAGGTTGTGGATTGTCTGCTCCTGAGGCGCCTCAGAAATCGGTCTGCTTGTATAACTTGCAGCAGTGTGGCTGGCTGATTTCTGAGGCGACTTTTGAGTCGACTCAAAATGTGTCGTGTGCCATGGTAACGAGGTGACTTTTGAGTCGACTCAAAAGTCACCTTTTTGAGTCGACTCAGAAATCAGTCTGCTTGTATAACTTGCAGCAGTGTGGCTGGCTGATTGCTGAGGCAATGCCTCTCAACCCGCTCCGTGCCCCCCCTCACCCTTCTCCCTCTCTCCCCTTCCCCTCTCTGTGTCTTTGCAGGCACGCACCCTAGACACAACGATTTTTGAGGCGCCTAAAAAATCCTCTCCCCTTTTCCTCTCTGTGGAGAGGCACACTCTTAAATCAGGCATACTAGACACAGCGCGTTCACAGAAGCATCGCGGCTGAAATGCCTCAACACAGTAATTTCAACCTCCCCCCCGCCCCTTCCCCTCTCTCCTCTCCCCCCTCCCTCATTCCCCCCGACTCTTCCCTTTTTTTTTCCCTACGACAAGGCAGGCGCGCATATTGGACAGGGCGGGGGACTTCACAGCAGGATTTCTTTGATAAATTCTAAAACATTCCCTGCAACGGGGGACTTCACAGCAGCAGCGCGGCTGGTAATGCCTAGAGTCCCCCAACCCCCTCCCTTCTCCTCTTGCCCTCACTCTCCCCCCTTCTCTTCCCCCTGTTTTTTTTCCTTACAACCAGGCACGCATATTGGACAGGGCGGGGGACTTCACAGCAGCAGCGCGGCTGGCAGACGAGGCGAGGAGCTTGGACCTGGCGGATAGATACCTCAACTCGGAGGCCGTCAGGCACATGCTCAGGGCGGACCAGGTGGGGGCGAGTGGTGTGGTTGGTTGGCGTGGTTGGGTGGTATGGCCTATCTGAGTAGTGAGACTTGAAAAGCGCCCGGTAGTATGAAGGGAGACGAGGCGAGATGCTTGGACCTGGCGGATAGATACCTCAACTCGGAGGCCGTCAGGCACATGCTCAGGGCGGACCAGGTGGGGGCGAGTGGTGTGGTTGGTTGGCGTGGTTGGGTGGTATGGCCTATCTGAGTAGTGAGACTTGAAAAGCGCCCGGTAGTATGAAGGGAGACGAGGTGAGATGCTTGGACCTGGCGGATAGATACCTCAACTCGGAGGCTGTCAGGCACATGCTCAGGGCGGACCAGGTGGGGGCGAGTGGTGTGGTTGGTTGGCGTGGTTGGGTGGTATGGCCTATCTGAGTAGTGAGACTTGAAAAGCGCCCGGTAGTATGAAGGGAGACGAGGCGAGATGCTTGGACCTGGCGGATAGATACCTCAACTCGGAGGCCGTCAGGCACATGCTCAGGGCGGACCAGGTGGGGGCGAGTGGTGTGGTTGGTTGGCGTGGTTGGGTGGTATGGCCTATCTGAGTAGTGAGACTTGAAAAGCGCCCGGTAGTATGAAGGGAGACGAGGCGAGATGCTTGGACCTGGCGGATAGATACCTCAACTCGGAGGCCGTCAGGCACATGCTCAGGGCGGACCAGGTGGGGGCGAGTGGTGTGGTTGGTTGGCGTGGTTGGGTGGTATGGCCTATCTGAGTAGTGAGACTTGAAAAGCGCCCGGTAGTATGAAGGGAGACGAGGCGAGATGCTTGGACCTGGCGGATAGATACCTCAACTCGGAGGCTGTCAGGCACATGCTCAGGGCGGACCAGGTGGGGGCGAGTGGTGTGGTTGGTTGGCGTGGTTGGGTGGTATGGCCTATCTGAGTAGTGAGACTTGAAAAGCGCCCGGTAGTATGAAGGGAGACGAGGCGAGATGCTTGGACCTGGCGGATAGATACCTCAACTCGGAGGCTGTCAGGCACATGCTCAGGGCGGACCAGGTGGGGGCGAGTGGTGTGGTTGGTTGGCGTGGTTGGGTGGTATGGCCTATCTGAGTAGTGAGACTTGAAAAGCGCCCGGTAGTATGAAGGGAGACGAGGCGAGATGCTTGGACCTGTGTGTATCTCGACTCGAACTTCATCCGTGTGTTCCCCCCTCCCACTCCTCCTATCTGGGTGCGTGTGTATGGGTTCAGGTGGATCTAGCAGAGAAAACAGCAGCGCTCTTTACCAAGCACGGCGACCAGCATGAGAACCTCTTCGACATGCAGTGCATGTGGTGGGTGCATTGCAGTGCATGCGGGTGCAGTGCGGTGCATGTGGGTGCAATACGGTGCATGCGGGTGCATGCAATGCATATGATGAATGTGATGTGATGGTTGTAACGCATCCCACCCACCCTCCATGCCCCATCCCGTGGCACCGCTCCGCACACGTACGAGCTGGAGGGTACCGCTGTCTCCACGTTCTTCGATGCCCGACTTTTACCTGCCGCAGAGCAACTTCAGCCGGGCATCGAAGAACGTCAGAAGCTATATGTGTTTTGGAACCTCAACATAACCGCATCCCACCCCACCCCATCCCATCCCATCCCATCCCATCCCATCCCATCCCATCCCATCCCATCCCATCCCATCCCATCCCATCCCATCCCATCCCACCCCATCCCATCCCATCCCATCCCATCCCACCCCACCCCACTGCTGTGTGCGTGCAGGTACGAGCTGGCGGGTGGAGACAGCTACCTGCGGCAGAAGAACTACGGGCGGGCCTTGAAGAACTACCTCTCAGTGCACAAGCACTATAATGACATGGTCAGTGTGGTGGTTCAATGAGCCGTTTCAGATGTCACACGGTCAGTGTGGTGGTTAACAGGTCACATGCTGCAAGCACCGGGCCTTGAAGAACTACCTCTCAGTGCACAAGCACTATAATGACATGGTCAGTTGTTCAGCGTTTGGCTTGTGACATGGTGAGTGCGCCTTTGAGGTGTGATGGTAAGGAGCTATCTCGCTGTGCACAGGCACTACAACAACATGGTCAGTGCGGCGTTTGGCATGTCACATGGTGAGATTGTCATGTGTAGGTTGTTTTTTAGAATTCTCAAAAACAACCTACATGGTCACGGTCCTTTGAGGTGAGGTCTGACTCCCCTCCCTTCCTTCCTTCCTTCCTTCCTCCCTTCCCCCCTCCCTCATCTCCCGGCCAGTTCGAAGATCAATCTGTCTTCCCCACCTACTGTCTGTGCAAGATGACCCTCCGAACCTATGTCTCAATGCGTGTTTTTGAGTCGACTCAAAAACTGTTTCAATGTCTCCCCCTTTTTCTGCCGCGGTGCCGCGACGTGGGTGCTGTGGATCCCTGTGCGGTGCCTTCTGGTATTTTAACTCCCCTCATCTCTTTTCCACCACCTCACCCCCCTCAGATTGAAGATCAATTCGACTTCCACACCTACTGCCTCCGCAAAATGACTCTGAGGGCCTACGTCGCCACTCTCCGCTGGGAGGACCGCCTCCACGCCCCCCCCTTCTTCTGCCAGGGGGCTGTTGGGGCTGTGCGGTGCTACGTGTGGTACCGTGCTCTTTGGTGCTGTGACTCCCTTCCCCCCTCCCCCCTCCCCCCTCCCCCATCTCCCCGCCAGATCGAGGATCAATTCGACTTCCACACCTACTGCCTCCGCAAGATGACCCTCAGGGCCTATGTGTGGTTTGAGTCGACTCAAAACACAGCAAGATGACTCTCCGAGCATATGTCGCCACGCTGCGCTGGGAGGACCATCTGCACGCCTCGCCCTTCTTCTGCCAGGGCGCTGTGGGCGCTGTGCGGTACCATGCGGTGCTGTCTGGTGCTGCAACTCCCCTCGCTTTCTCTCACCCTCCGCCACCCACCCGCTTCCTTTCCTTTTCTCACATCTCCCCCCTCCAGATTGAGGATCAGTTCGACTTCCACACCTACTGCCTCCGCAAGATGACCCTCAGGGCCTACGTCGCCACTCTGCGCTGGGAGGACCATCTGCACGCCTCGCCCTTCTTCTGCCAGGGCGCCGTGGGCGCTGTGCGGTGCTACGTGGCTCTGCACGACCGGCCGGTGGTGAGGGAGGAGGCCAAGGAGGAGGACAAGGCCAAGATGAGCGCGGCGGAGCGGAAGAGACTGCAGAAGGAGCAGCGGCGGAAGAAGGTGAGCGATTGTGTTAAGGTGTGAGCGACAATGTGATAAGGTGATGGCAGGGGGGGCAATGTGATAAGGTGAGCGCGCGAGCGGGTGTGTTTGGGAAGGAAGGGTTGGGGCAGGCGGGAAGGTGAGATTGAGAAAGGAGCAGTGAGCGGGGGGAAGCTGCATGGTGAACCGCGTTGCTCAACCCTCCCATGTATTCTCCATTGCTCCTTTTTCAGAAGGCGTTTTTCCCCTCTGCCCTCCCCTGCACTTTGCCCTGTGCCCTCTTTTTTCCCGTTCGGGCAAGCAGGAGGAGGAGGAGGCAGCAGCGGCGGGTGCAGCGGCGGCGGCGGCAGCAGCAGCCAAGGCAGCCAAGAAGGGAGGCTCGGCCAAGCCTGTGGATGCCGACCCTGATGGATTGAAGCTCACTGAGGTGCGCTGTGCTGTGCTGTGCTGTGCTGTGCTGTGCTGTGCTGTGCTGTGCTGTGCTGTGCTGTGCTGTGCTGTGCTGTGCTGTGCTGTGCTGTGCTGTGCTGTGCTGTGCTGTGCTGTGCTGTGCGGTGCTGTGAGGTACTGTGCTGTGAAGTGCTGTGAGGTTCTGTGCTGTGTGGTGCTGTGCATCTGTGTGCAAATGTGTGTGCATAGGTGGTTGTTTGTTTGCATACATGCACCACTCACATGTCACAAGCAAGGCCCGGTTAATCCTATATCTGTCGTGCATGTATCCATTACTGCATGTGCTGCTGCATATCACTCTTTACAGTAGATTCTGGATCACTTGGGCGGTCGTCGACATAGAATGTGCAAATCGCAGTTCAATCTCTGTACTTTGCAATATATATATTTATATACATATATATATATATACATATATATGTATGTATGTATATATATGCGTATGTTAAGGTCAATATACCACCGTTTTCATCACCTCAGGTCAGGTGGAGGACAAGCTAATAGAGGCCTCCAAGCACCTCTCACTGCTGCTGCAGCACGTCGGCTCTGAGCTGATCTTAAGAGTCTGACTAAGATAAGCTTAATACACCATCAATCCTACACCTCTCTCAAGTGGAGGACAAGCTAGCAGAGGCATCAAAGCACCTCTCACTTCTGCTGCAGCACGCCGGGAGATGACCTTTGAGGCTCGGCTAAAAAATGTGTCTACACACTTTGATTCCCATTTGCGCAGGTGGAGGACAAGCTAGCAGAGGCCTCCAAGCACCTCTCGCTGCTGCTGCAGCATGCCGGATCGGAGCTCTCGTCGCTGCAAGTGGCGTTTGACGTCTTCTCGCGGAAAAAGAAGCTCCTGCTGTGCCTGCAGGTGAGTCTTGGCCTGCAGGTGAGTCTTGGCCTGCAGGTGAGTCTTGGCCTGTGACGGAAGAATTGTCATTGTCTTACTCACATGCCTTGTGTACTCACATGCCTTGTGTACTCACATGCCTTGTGTACTCACATGCCTTGTGTACTCACATGCCTTGTGTACTCACATGCCTTGTGTACTCACATGCCTTGTGTACTCACATGCCTTGTGTACTCACATGCCTTGTGTACTCACATGCCTTGTGTACTCACATGCCTTGTGTACTCACATGCCTTGTGTACTCACATGCCTTGTGTACTCACATGCCTTGTGTACTCACATGCCTTGTGTACTCACATGCCTTGTGTACTCACATGCCTTGTGTACTCACATGCCTTGTGTACTCACATGCCTTGTGTACTCACATGCCTTGTGTGCTCCCTCACTTGCTCCCTCACTTGCTCCCTCACTTGCTCGCTCACTTGCTCCCTCACTTGCTCGCTCACTTGCTCGCTCACTCCCACTCACTCTCACTCACTCACTCACTCACTCACTCGCTCGCTCGCTCGCTCACAATGTCACTTCCATCCTCCTCTGTCTCGTCGCGCTCTCCTCTGTGCCTCAGGTGGTGCGGCGGTTGCTCAACGAACATCCACATGCACCCCTTACACACTCGTGCCTGGTACGTATGTGTGTGCATGTGTGTGTGCATGTGTGCGTGTGCGTGTATGTGTGCGTGCACGTGTGCGTGCATGCGTGTGTGTGTGTGTGTGTGGATGTGTGCGTACATGCATGTGTGCGTGTGCATGCATACATCCACATGCACCCCTTACACACTCTTGCCTGGTACGTATGTGTGTGTGCATACATGTGTGCATACATGTGTGCATGCATGTGTGCGTGCATGTGTGCTTGCAAGATGCTCATGCGCCCATCACCCTCTCCTGCCTGGTATGTGTGTCACTTCCCCTCCACCCCATCCCATCCCATCCAACCCATCCCTGCTTCACGACCGCATCCACCCCATCCAACCCATCCCGATCCCACACCACTCCCCACCCCAACCACCACAGGTTCGGTTCTTCCTCACAGTGCGTGACCTTCCCCCGGCAGAATCAGAATCAGATAAAATCATCCGTGCAGTCATCGAAGCTGAGAGGGCTGATCTGGGGTGGGTGGCACAAGGGGAACCAGGGGAACCAGGGGGGTATTGGTGGGGGTATGGGGGGCAATGGTGAGGGCGAGAGTGCTCGTTCGTTGGGTCGTTGTGGGGGTCCGGACGTGTGCGTCAGTGTGCGTGCTTGTGTGGATTGCAGGAGCAGTGCTCTTTCCTCGTGTGCTTGCTTGCCCTTTTGTTTCTTTGTCTCAACGCATTTACCTTCTCTTCCCCTGCCCTTCCTGCCCCCTCCCGCCCCTCCTCTTTCTCCCACCCACTCCTACCCCTTCTACCCACTCGTACTTTTACTCCTGCCTACCCCCCCAGTATATCTGAAAACCTGTCAGCAAGCTTGCAAGAACGCAACGAGGCCTTTTTGGAGGCACACAGAGGTGCGAAGCTGCTGTTACTCTCCCTTGTGTATCTTTCCGGACGTCTCCCGTCTGCTCTGTCTCCTGGCTTGGGTTCTCAATTGTCCCTGCTTCTCCCCCTTCCCTTTCTTCGCTCCCCCTCTCCACCCCTCCATTCCAGTCTCATGATCATGCTGTGTTCTGTCTGACACTCCGTCAGTGCACCACCATACCACCACCATACCATCACAATGTCATGTGACGATTTTTGAGGCACCGAAGAAATACACCATCATGCCACCACCATACCATCAATATGTCATGTGCCACCCCATAGCACCCCATCTCCCCCCGTGTCACCATCAATCCACCACCATGCCATGCGAGCAGATAGCTTGCCGCACAGGGCAGCAGCAGCGGAGGCCATGGCCATGCTGGATCCCTCCCTCAAGGCGCGCGCCACTGCCGTCATCCACGACTCGCAAGAGCCGCTCGCCACAAGGTAGGTCCTACAGTGCAGCATACCGGTTCATTATATGTACAGGGGCCTCACACAGGGCAGCAGCAGCGGAGGCCATGGCCATGCTGGACCCCAAGTCTCAAGGCGCGGGCTCTCTCTGTCAAGACCTCATCCACGACTTGCAAGAGCCCCTCACCACAAGGTACGACCTACATTGCATTGCCTTACTCCCATACCTCATTCCCATACATCACTGCCGTACCCCTCTCCCATACGTCGCTCCCATACCTCACTCCCATACCTCACTGCCATGCCTCTTTCCCATACGCCGCTCCCATACCTCAACCAGGCATGGCTTTTGAGGCGCCTCAAAAGGCGCACTTGTGACACTCTTCAGCTCCTCTCCCCTCCTGCCCCCTCCTCCCCCCTCCTGCCCCCTCCCTCCGTCTCCCTCCTCCCTTGCTGTTACCTCCAGTGGCGGAGCATTTGTGGAGGGAGTGGGAGAGTGGTCCCTAGACCAGTGAACGACTTTTGAGGCGCCCCAAAAGGCGCGTGTGTGACCTCTTGAATCCCCCACCCTCCCCACTCCCTCCTTCCTTCCTCTCCCTTCCTCCCGTGCTGTTGTCACCTCCAGTGGCGGAGCATTGGCGGAGGGAGTGGGCGAGTGGTCCCTAGACAAGTGCACAGCTTTTGAGGCACCTCAAATTCGCATGTGTAACCTCGTGAATCCCCCTCAATCCTTCATTTTCCCCTCCTGTTGCCTTTAGTGGCGGAGCATTGGCGGAGGGAGTGGGCGAGTGGTCCCTAGACCAGTGCACGGCGGTGCATCGGCTGCTGCAGGAAGGCCCTCTTGCTGATGAGGCGGCTGCGCAAAGTGAGTTGTGAATCATCTCGGAGAGTTTAGTAAGCTTGTCATAATGTGTGTCGTTTCGAGTGCACTGCGATGCATCGACAGTTGCAGGACGGCCTTTCGGTCGGCCGATGACTGGTGTGCAGAGCGATTTCCCTACTCGCAGCACTTTGAGGGGAAATGCTTGAGTCGACTCTAAGATCTCTCAACACCCCTCATCCCCAACACCCAGGATGGAACGACCGGTGTGCGGAGCGATTTCCCTACTCGCAGCATTTCGAGGGCAGCAAGAGCTCCGCGAAAGCACCACCACCGGTGGCTGATGGTGGTGATGAGGACGGGGAGGAGGGCAGTGCTGCTGGTGCTGCTGCTGGGGAGAACGGGGTGGTGGAGTAGGGTGTGGAGTGGTGGAGTAGGGTGTGGAGTGGTGGAGTAGGTAGGGTGTGCGGCGTGCTTTCTCTACTTGCAGCGCTTTGAGGGGAGCAAGAGCTCTGTGAAAGCACCACCACCGCTGCTGATTGGGGAGGCGGAGGACGGGGAGGAGGGGAGTGCTGCTGCTGGCGCTGCTGCCAGGGGTAACGGAGTGGTGGGGTATGGTCTGTGGTGGTGGATTAGGGTGTGCGGTGGTGGAGTATGACTCCAACGCTAAAATGATGGGTTGTTGTAACAGCCTTTCCAGCGTAGGTTGGCTGGTGGTGTAGGAATGAGATCGACATGCCAAAAATCAATAAAATAATTGGCATGATGTGTGGCGTGGTGTCGTTCGTACACCGTTTCACCTCAAAACATTACGATTCCAGCCCAGTTGTTACTTCTTCCCTTCGCTGCCAGTGCACATGCACCACAGCAAACACGAATTAGAATCCATGGTGCCAGGCCCTCAGAAGTCAGCGAAAAAAGGCTGATTAGGGGTAAAAAGGCTGTGATTTCAGTGGTGGGGGAATAGTGGGGCTATTGTGGCAGCCTTTTTTTTAGTGTGTTTGCTGAAAGTTCAGGTTTTTTTATTCTGTTTGTGCTGAATGTTGTATGGGGGTCTGTCAAATGTTGTAGCCTGTAGTGAGGCTTGTCTTAGGGGGTACAAATATTAGAGTTTGCTATATGTACCCCAACCCACATCAATGAACACACAATTCAGTTTCTGACATGGTATCACCTAGGTTAGGATCCTATAGGATCCCGTTCCTCTTGCCCGAGCCTCCCGAGCCTCACGCGCCTCACCCGTCCCGTCCTGCCTCGTAACGCTGCAGTAGCGCCCCTTTCGTACGCCCGTCCGCCGCGCGCCTGCAATCACGCTTGCCGCAGCGCGTTCTGCCCGTTCTCGCGCCCGTCCCTGCGCGTCGCGCCCTGCTGCAGCCCGCGCATTGCGCCCTCCTGCAGCCTGCGCGCCGCGCCCTGCTGCCCGCGCGTCGCGCCCTGCTGCAGCCTGCGCCCTGCTGCCCTGCACAGCGCGCGCCCTGCTGCCCGCACCGCCCAGGCCGAGTCGCGCCGCCCAGCACGAGCCGCTCTGCCCAACCCGATCCACCCTGCTGCTGCTGCTACTGGTGGAGGTACTGCTAGGAGTACTGGAGGTGCTGCAGCCTAGCCTCGCCGAGCCGCTCTACTGCTCATATTGCTGCTGCTGCTGCTACTCGTGCTACTGCCTTCACTCCGTACTGCCCTAGATGTCACGCTCCTCCTATCTTGCCCGCCATGACTTCACTTCGCAGCAGCAGTGGGAGTGGTGCCGGCGGTGGTGGCAGTAGTGGGAGTGGTGGCGACCGTAGTAGCAATCACTGTGGCGCTGTTCGGTGCGGAGTTTCTGGCGGTGGCCAGATGCAGCTACAGCGGCGTCCGACCCTTACGCCCCAGCAGCTTCGTGAGTGGCTTTACCAGCGTGGGACGTCTCCGAGTCCTGGTCGCTGCCCGTACGTCATTCGCACAGGTCGTCAAGCTGGTCAGACCTACGGGACACCTGGTCACGCACAGTCCCGCTGCTTCTCCTATTTGAGTGACGCCTGGCACGAAGAGTTTGGAGACGAGGCTGAGATCCCCCACTGGCTTGAGCTGCTTAGGTCGGGCGTTGATGTCTTTGCTTTAGACTATGACGCCATCCTTACTGTATGCTTTGCCTGGTGGTGCTGAGGGTGACTGTTACCTGTGCGTGCAGCACGACCCCAGTATAGAGGTTACTGCTCTAGGTGCTAGTGATGCTACTGCCTTAGGTGCTAGAGAGTCTGCTCTCTCAGGTACTGCGCCTACTGAGGCGTTGCACACCTTCACGCTTGACTCAGGTGCTTCCCGCTGTTTCTTTTGCGACAATACCGCACTCATGCCACTTCCTGGACCTGTTGCAGTGTCTCTGGCTGACCCCTAAGGGGGCCCAAATCTGGCACGGTCCACCACAGTGCTCCCGTGCCCGGCGGTTCCGTCTGGCTCACTGACAGGCCTCCACCTCCCCTCGTTCTCTACGAACTTGGTGAGCAACGCAGTTCTCCAAGACCAGTGGGTTGACACCTTTACCCCTGGAGGACAGCGTGTGGCGATCTGTACGTGCTCCCGGATTGGCCGCCACCTGGCCCCGTTTACCCGTCGGCCAGGGTCGAGTCTTTACACACTGACGACTGCGTCTCCTCGGGTAGCTGCTACTGGTCAGGTTAGGTAGCCTCCCCTTGTGAGTGTCGCTCCCTATCGCACCAGACTCTTCTCTTGCACCACCGTCTGGGTCACCCCTCCTTGCCACGTCTACGTGGCATGCACCGTCGCCTCCTTGTGTCTGGTCTTCCACGGTCTCTCCCTCCCCTCCCTGCCTCCCCTGCGCCGTCCTGCCTTCCTTGTGTCGAGGGGCGGCAGCGCGCCGCTCCTCACTCCTCCTCGTTTCCCCCCAGAGAGGCTCCCCTGCAGACCCTCCACATGGACGTGTGGGGCCCAGCCCGCGTTCGTGGACTGGGCGGCGAGCGGTACTTTCTGCTGGTTGTCGACGACTACTCGCGTTACACCGTGGTCTTCCCCTTGCGCACCAAGGGTGAGGTCCCTGCTGTCCTAATCCCTTGTATCCGAGCAGTTTGTCTCCAGCTCCGCTGCAGGTTCCGCCAGGACCTCCCTGTCCTGCGTCTGCACTCTGACAGAGGTGGTGAGTTCTCCTCCGACCTCTTGCGGGCCTTCTGTCAGGGGGAGGGCATCCTCCAGTCGTTCACGCTTCTAGGCTCCCCGCAGCAAAATGGGGTTGCTGAGCGCCGCATTGGCTTGGTCATGGAGATCGCTCGTACCTCCTTGATCCATGCGGTGGCTCCCCATTTTCTGTGGCCGTTTGCGGTCCGGTACGCCGCGCAGCAGCTCAACCTCTGGCCCCGTGTCTCCTTGCCGGAGACCTCGCCCACACTGCGTTGGACGGGAGAGGCTGGCGATGCATCGGTGTTCTGGGCCTGGGGTGCTCGTGCCCTTGTCCGCGATACGTCCGCGGACAAGTTCTCCTCCTGCACCATTCCCTATGTCTTCCTTGGCTTTGTCTCTGACGCACCTGTCTGGAGTTTTACCACCCCACCTCGCGCCGTGTCTTCCCCTCTCAGGACGTCACCTTTGACGAGTCGGTTCCTTTCTACCGTCCCTTCCCCTGCCCCTCTCCCTCCCCCGCCGCTTCTCCTCGCTCCAGGTCCCCCTCCGGTAGACCCCCTCCCCCCTCAGGGTCCTGCCCCTTCAGATGTGTCTCAGGTAGACCCACTCCCCTTGGCTGAGCCTGTAGAGGTCACTAGCGACTCAGGTGCTGCTGCGGGTGGTGCTGCTCAGGATATTGCGTCTGGAGGTGCTGAGCCTGTGCGTGAGGTGCTGGGGGGTGCAGAGCCTAGGGGTGCTGAGCCTACGAGTGCGGAGCCTGGGGGGTGCTGAGCCGGAGAGTGCTGAGCCGGAGAGTGCTGAGTCTGAGGGTCTCTCTTCACGACGGGGGACTCTCTCACCACACCAGCTACGAGAGTGGCTGGCGTGGCGTACCCGTCTGAGGAGTCGTGCTGCTGGTGCTGGAGGTACTGTTGCTCGAGGTGCTGCGGTTGGAGCTGCTGGAGCTGCTCGTCGTGGAGGCGCTGGGGGTGCTGGCGCTGAGGGTCCTGGAGGTGCCCGTACCGGAGGTACTCGAGCTGCCGGGATCCGTGGTGCTGGAGGCATCGGAGCTGGAGACCCGCTCGTTGGAGTTCGAGACCTTGGAGCTGGAGGTGCTGGCCCTCGAGGTGCTGGCCCAGGGGGTACTGAGTCTGTTGGTGCTGAGTCTGCTGGAGGTCCTCCTGGTGCCGCGTTGCAGCGGTCACCTCTCTCGCCGCGGCAGCTGCGCGAGTGGCTTGCTTCGCGCACCCGCCTTCGGAGTCGCGCTGCTAGAGCTGGAGGCACTGGAGCTGGAGGCGCTGGAGCTGGAGACCCTAGGGCTGGAGGTGCCAAATCTGGGGGTACTGCTGCTGGAGGCACTAGAGCTGGGGGACCTGGAGCTGGTGCTGTCGACCATGGAGTTGGAGACCCGGTGCCGGTTCTGGGGGTGCTGCTGCTGGGGGCACTGGAGCTGGAGGCCCTGGAGCTGGTGCTGTCGACCCTGGAGTTGGGGACCCTGGAGCTGGAGGTGCCGGTTCTGGGGGTGCTGCTGCTGGAGGCCCTGGAGCTGGAGGCTCTGGAGCTGGTTCTGTCGACCCTGGAGTAGGAGACCCTGGAGCTGGAGGTGCCGATTCCGGGGGTGCTGGAGGCCCTGGGGCTGGAGGTTCTGGAGCTGCTGTAGGAGCTGGTGCTGCTGGTGCTCGTCCTGGAGGTGCTGGAGCTGCCGGAGCTGGTGGTGCTGCGGGCTTTGGAGCAGGAGGCGCTGGCGCTGGAGGCGCTGGAGCTGGAGACCCTGGAGCTGGAGGTACTGGAGCTGGAGGCGCTGGAGCTAGAGGCGCTGGAGCTGGAGGTTCTGCTGCTGCTGGATGTGCTACTGCTGGTGGTACTGGTGCTGGTGGTACTGCACAGCCGCGACTGTTCTTCGCTCCGCCGTCACCGTCGTCTCTGCCACCACCTGACTCCGTGCTTCGCCAGGTTCTTAGCCTCCCGTCTTCTACTGGCCTCCCGTTACAGCCAGGCTCTCCACTGCCTGCTCCTTCTCCTTACACTGAGCAGTAGACTCGCTTACAGAGCGTCGTGAGCCTGCTTCTCGTCCTGCCTCACCTGTTCGCGTTGGTCGCACTGGTCGTCGTATTCCTCGTGAGCGTCCTCCTCCTGTCCCCGGCACGCACACTATGGCACTTCGTCCTTCCTCTGTTCCACAGCGTGTTCCCCTGCTGTCTCCTCCTTTGTCCTCTCTTCCGCGCGTTCCGGACCCTGAGTCTGACTTAGCTCGTGCTGCCAGCCCTACTGTCACCCGTCTTCTGGCCACTGCTGTTACTGACCCTTCGTTTGATTCTACTGCTGCG